TGGTTTCTAGGGAGTTGCTAAGTGGTTGCTTAATGTTCCAAGTCAATAGAATTTCAGGTTTCTAGACAGGGCTTGGCCATCAGTATATGGGATTTGTTTTTTATCATTCATGTCCGTTTCATAAATGTTGCAGGACTTGTTCCATGTTAAATTTTAATACTTAGGGTAGAGAGTTTGTTAAAATTCTAAAAAGGTTCTAAAAGTGTTTTTTGAGGGGGTTAGAAACCTTTCAGTGAGCAGTCTTTAAAGGCCCACTGAAGTGCCTTGAAAAATGCAGCTGCCCTTTTCCTTTTCGGGATTAGTATTATCTGGGGACCTCGTGTGAATTTGAAATTACCCACCCACATCTGAATTTCGTGTGGCGCATTCGCACGGGATAAGTGAAGCCTGTGATTTTACTCGAATTTACTGACTTATCTCCTGGATATGATGTCATTAGTCTGTAGCTTGGAAATGTTTGTCTAGCTGTATGATATATAATAAACAGAAGAATTGTCCTTACCGTATGCTGCTCTACATGTCATTCATCTCCATCTAATCATTCTTTTTGTTTTTGCTCTTCTGATGGTTTTCAGCTTTCTCTTTCTGCAAATTGTATAGTGGTATGTCGCGATATTAACCAGCACCTATCAAAACACTCCAACGCAGCCTCTATTCTTAGTGAAAGACCAACACATTCTCATCCCAGGGCGTCATATAGGTGACGCTTTTGAAATCCGACGCACATGGCACCCCTTCGCGTCAATATAACACGCTGCGGTTATGGGTAGGTTTAGGTCTAGGGTAGTGTTAGGTTTAGACCACTAGGAGGCACCTTCTGGCCCATATATATCTGCGTTTTAAATTGACGCTAAAGGGTGACGTGCGTCGGATGTAGACACAATTTCAAAAAGACGGATAAAAGAGCGCACAGGAAACAAAAACTTTGAAAAAAATCTATATATAAACGACCTCGCCAATCACAGAGATGTCGATTCGCACAAGACTAATATTATCACAGGACCTACGTTTTCGGCGTATGGTAGGTAATTTGCTTTACAATTAAAATTAATTTCCCCTGAAACGGGAAGACAATTAATGCGGGACAGCGCACATATGATCTGCTCTGTGCTGTGGTGTCTCTGGACCAGAGCGGACTGTGTGCGTGCTGTGGCGGTTCATAACGTGAAACCAGACTTCATGCCTCAGTGGAAAACATATTTACACTGCCTGAATCATTCCCTATCGCCTATTTAGTGCACTATGTGCCATTCACAATATAGAAAATAGTATTTGTGTGAACAAGTTATCGTTTTCAGCCGCCGCTTCAGCGTCTATTTATAAAGCGTCTAATTGTAGGGGGGCTTTAGATTCTAGAGCATTTGATTGGACAGGAATAACTGATGAGAAGATGAAGTGCAGAGTGATGTCATCAGAATCATTGATCCATATTTGGCAGAAGTGAGATACCTCTAAAAGCGAAACATATTCATACTAAAGTTTCAAATGTTTTTGGGGTTTTTTTTATTTCATGGGGACTAAAAGACATTTTTTTATATAGTCTAAAAAACCCTTTTCCACTATATTGTATCTTTCGTGGAATGGAAAGTTTCCATGCATGTTAAAAAGTTATTTATGGAGCCATGAATTTAATGAGATGGTAATAGAGATGCAAGCACACTCTCCTTTTCTTTTTCCCTTCTTTGGCATCCAATCAGCAGCACTCAACACTTCTACACAATCCCTTACTCTCCATATTAAAATTCACTTTTTGAATCATAACAAACACTGTACAGTAGTTCTGCACTCTACTGTATGTACAGTAAGTGCAGATGCTGTGCAGTGATGAAGTGCTTGGCGTTTTGAGGTGAACTAATGAACGTCATGCTGACATTGACCTCTATTCAGACGGACAGGTTCTTTCTCGTTTCGTTTTAATCTCTTTATCCTTCACTGAAAAGTTATGCAACGATATCCCAAAACACAGGTGCATATATCTCCTGTCCAACTTCCTGCCAGTTCTCCTCAATGTATCACTGCTGTAAGCGCGATCAACTCTTGTGGTCTATCAACATCGTGTTTATTCAGATGGCTCTTGCTGACTCTAAAGTGGACAAGAAGGGGAATTAGTTGCTTTTAAATACGCTTACTCAACAAACTCCACTCCACTGTAATCACAGGACTGAGAAGAGTGCGCTTTTGTTAAGCAATGATACAAATCCCAGTGAAGGAGGTCGTCTGTGTCTCATGAGTATAGACAGTAATTAACAGTGCATAAGTGAGGTGAGATTCAGCAGGAGTCTCCCGCTGTAAGCAGCATATGCTCCATTTCTTTGCTATAGTGTGCCAGGAACATCTGAAATTCCGGAGAAAACTCACTTGCACTTTTTGCATCATGGGAGCCGACCAACTACCCTATTGAAAAATTCAGCATGACCATGTACTCATGAATTCCATGGTGGTCCAGGCTGGTTCATGCTGGTTTGAACTGGTATAGTGCTGGTCTAGCTGGTGGACCAAGCTGGTGGTCCAACAGCAATCCCGCTTCCTATGGTGTCCTGGCATACAAAATACAATATTTATGTTTAATTTTAATGTTATAATGATAAAATGATATATATATATATATATATATATATATATATATATATATATATATATATATATACTGTATATATATATATATATATATATATATAATATGCACAGTATGTGACCAGTGTGTTCAGTGGGGATATCTGTTTTTAATGATCCTACTAGTTCGATCAAATGATCAAAATATGAAGGAATATTTAAAATAAAATAAAACACTAAACTTGATTATGGTATTTATCTGACACAATTATTTGGCAAAAAAAGTCATACTACAGCTAAAGATTTTATTTTATATGCAAAAAAAAAGAAGCACAACAAAACCTACATAAATTGACAAAAGCACATAAGTTAAAATAAAAGCTAGTTAAAAATATAAAATAAATAAATACTATACTAGATAATAGTAAAAAAATAACACTTTCTGCTTAAAGGAGCATTTCATCCATTTCAACATTAATCTTTATTGAAAGTGGATCGTAGTCGAAATGTAAAAGAATTTTTGAATTTGGTGCCCTCTTGACAGAGAAAAGACAGAAAATAACCGAGGGATGCATTTGTATGTAAGACAACAACTCCCACAATGCACCACATTGCACAGCTCCGCAAGCCACACCCACTAATCCGGAACAGCGCAAACAGAGAAATAGAGTTTGAAATTCATTTCACACAAAATTTCTAGTTAGTTGGCTGTAGCGAGCAGGATGAGGGCGAGGGACGTAAGGGGACGGCGTGAGGTCGGTGGCGTGAGTGATAATTAAAGACACCTGTGAGACGCGGCGGTCTCGCGTCACTCACGAAGGAGCGAAAGCATAAAATGAGGAGCGACTACGGCAGAGAAACAGGCCTGATTTTATGATGTGTTTTGTTTCTGTTGTGTGTAACGTTACAGCAGTCGTCAATGAGGGACTGCTGGCTTATACTTATTCGTTCATTTTACTATTAAAATGTTTAAATGTTCGCCGGTTCCCGCCTCTTCCTTCTCACAACAACAAACCCTGTTAACGTTACATTTGCAAACTCATTAGTGAATTACTCCTCGTTTGTATTTATTTCTATATGGTGAATTACTGCATGATACCTGGATGTTCAGTCTGGCGAAACTAGGATGGTTCACATCACAACACAAATGTCCGTGTGCTCGTCTGATTCAGAGATTTCGTCAAGGAGAAATTGCCATCGTTGAAATTCTCTGCAGGAGACGGACTATATCTGTGTCCGTAGTTCACAGCGAGAGCACATGCACCAGCAATCCGCTCAGCTCGAGCCAGTCCGGGCTCCTCGACCGCGACAGGCAGCCGCCTCCTGTTCCTCCGTCATCCTCATCAGCTCTAAACTATACTGCGACTCGTATAGATAGCCACGAACATCGGATTCGAGCAGCAGAATTTCAAAATCCTCTTCTTCCATATCATGTTTAGTTTCTTCCGTCATTATCATACTTCCTATCTCCACAGCGCTTGTTAGCTTAGCTTCCAAACAAGATGGCTGATATATTGATTCAGTATCTGCAAGTGAAGTCCCACCCGCTGATCTGTAATAGGCCTGTAGGGTGAGTGGGTCCCACACCCTTGAATAATAATGAGCTAATGTTTGTAGTCTCTACAGATTTTAAAAATTACGATTTTTACGTCATGATAAGCAGGAAGTAAAACACTTAAATCCTTATTTCTCCCATCTCAGGGGAAAATAAGGGAATAAACCATGACCATTCAAAAATATGACTGGGTTTCTAAAGATACAAAGCTTAATGCAAATGGATGAAAGTGTCCCTTTAAATGAGACAATTTTCTATATAGAGTAAGAATGTAGAGCTTTAAAAAGAATTGTGACTAACATAGTTACGATAATATGGTCTTAGATGATTTCCTTTTGAAATCATTGACTTTTGATTTCAGAAAATCTGAGCACAGTTTGAGACATTGTTGAGATCTCATCTGAAATTAAAGCAAACGTGAGAGTGAAACCGCGCACAAATCAGTCCGAAGCAAAAGTCTCCATTTGCTTTCCATTTAATGTAATTGGCTGTCTAAGAGAAGACAGATATTAAAGAGATCTCCTCTGGGGGGTTTCTTTCCTATAAGGGAATTCGGTTATTAAGATTCTCAGATTGCCTGAGTCTCATACCGGCGACTCTAATAAACAACTTAGCTTACTTGATAGATTAGTTCACGAGCCGACCAGCCAGTTGTAGCAATGCTGAATTATTTATAGGGAACGTGTCAAGCTCATTTATGCTTGCGCTGAACTTTCCCTCTGCCGTGCTGGAAGGAAAAGAAGAGACAACACCTTAGAGATGCTTGGAGTCAGAAGGTTGTGTTTTATAACATGTCTTTTTTTTTTTTTAATCTGGTCTTTCTTCTGCTGATGCCGAATCCAGTTGCACTCTGCCAGGAGAGTTTTGCTTCACAGGGCAGGTGAAAAAGATGCAGAAGGGAGGGGGATTGTTCTGTGTTAGCCCAGCATTGGATGTTTCGAGAGAGGGAGTGGACCGTGCCTTTCTCTCTCCTCCTCTCTCTTTCTCTGTCTCCATCACTATGGAGTTGAGGCGAGGAAACCACACAGCCAGAGGAAGCATGCATGAGCTCAGAGAGCTGAAACAAAAGGCACACTATCTATCACCCGCTAGATCATTCCTGGAACCTGCACTTCCATTACAGTGATGAGCGTAAGAGAGAGGCTGAGCAGGACATGTTACCAAGGAGACTACAATGATGAAATGCATTAGCGTCTCGTTTTCCTTGTTTCCTGAAGTCTGAAGGAACTTAAATGCTGTTATGCCAGGCTCTGCCACTCAGGAGAACGTCATGAAGGTGAGGGTTAACTTTTTCTTCAGGCTCTTAAAACCCCATCAGAATTTTCCTGTAGAAAGTGTCTGCGTTTAAATTGAAATTTGATTATATTTTGCTCAGCTCTCCCCAAAAGAAAAGGGGAATATATATTTATATATACGCACATACACGATCAATAGCCAAAGAGAATAATGCCACAAAAAATCTTATTATAATCTACTAATCGTACTGTGTATAATTATAAGTAATTATATAATTATTTCACTGTAAAAAATATTTTCATTATTTGTAATCACAACATTTTTTCTTTTGTCAAATCAACTTAGATAACTGATGTAGTTCAGATAACATAATTGAGTTTCTGGTTATTAAATCAATCTCCTTCATTGTATTAACTCAATTTTTCCAGTTCAATGAACTTAAAATTTTAAGGCAACCAGGTTACTTATTTTTTTAAGTTAAACCAACAATATGTTTTTACAGTGTACATGTGTGTATATATATTTCTCTTTATATATATATATATATATATATATATATATATATATATACAGTATATACACACACATACACACCCCACATTGAGATATTTGTGTTACAACAATTTTTTATATTTTTTTTTATTTATTTATTTATTTATTTTATTTTTTTGGGGGGGGGGGGTGTTATGAAAATAATAGCACAATGCAGAATGCAAAAATAGTAATATAATAATAGTTAATATAATTTAATGTAATAGTGTGTGAGATATGATGACCTGGACATTTATTAAGTCAGACTATGACGCTATTTTCTTCTCTGTTGTACAGCAGAAACAAACTTTGTTGCATTATTTTCCTTTTATCACTGTAAAGGTGCATTGAAACAATCTATATTGCAAAAAGCTGTATATAAATAAAGGTGACTTGACTTAAGAATTACCCATTGGAAAATTATTGTTTGATTCGCAAACGCAGCATGGTTTACAGTAGTCTGACTAAGCTGCATGTCAGGGATTTTTGATTGTGTGTCAGAACGCTTAACTCGGCAAGGCTGAACTCTGAAAAGTAACAGATAAGGTTGGAAGGAGAAGCACATCGTCGTGTCACTCAAAAGCGTCAGCACAGAAAGCTCAGTGCAAACACAGCATTCATTTGACAGGATTTCCCTTCAGGCAGAGAAAGTCTGTTTACAGGCAAACTTTAATCCTTCCATCGCCACCGGCAAGACAAAGATTTCGTTTTTATTACAGTGGCAGAAATCTGACATATTTGATTTGATTACTGCTGGATTTGCTTTTTGCTTTAAAAAAAAAAAAAAAAAAAAAAAAAAACTGAAACACTAATTGCCTCCTGACTGATTTAATTTCAAAATTTCCAATTTTCTTATAGGGTCTGAGAGATCCCAAGACCTTTTGAATGGCACTTTAGTGTTAGGTAAAAGTGATATCAACAAGTACAACATGTTCCTGGACAACGCTATCTCACGACTAATTCGTACGAGTGAGTACGAGGTGGCTAATCTTTGTGTAAACTGGTAGGTTTAGGGGTGGAGTCAGGGGTAGGCCATTCGTACAAATTCGGCAACTCGTAAAATATGTACGATTTAGCAAAAAAACGCACACATTCTTACGAGTGATGTCGTACGAGTGAGGTTGTATGAATTTGTACGAATTAACTATCTCGTAAAAATTCGTACAAATTGTGGTGAGATCGTGTTGTCCTGGATCAACATTCCAATTAACCAATTAAATTTGAGGGACAAGTTTACAGTTTATATCAGGTTTAAGCTTACAACCAGGGTTAGGTGCTTCGACATCAGTAGGTGAGGTGTTCGACATGAGGTGTTATTCACACAGTATTTCCCTCTGATTTTAGTTTTGACCATACGTCAAACATCCGCCTTTTTAGGGTACCCTTAAACGTCGGTTTGATGACGTTATCGGATCCTAACCCTACCCCAGACCTAAACCTACCCCGTCACCTTACTGACGTTAAAGGTAAAGCGTCAGTTGTATGACGGCCCGGGATCGTCATGTGACCAACGTTTAAGGGTACCCTAAAATGGCGGATGTTGATCAAAAGACGTCCCAAGACGTCAGTTAAATGACTTCTTGGGATGAGACTGTGCTATGTAGGGGAAGGGATATGGTTAGGACATATTTTTTGGACAGGAACATGTCTTACTTAGCAAAATTCCAGTGTTTTTTTTCCCAGTGTTTCTACTATGATTTTAAACCAAACTTGATATTCAAATGTCCTTTGAGATCAAATAAAAAGGGTACAGCTTCAATAACATCTCAAATGTCAAAAATATTTTGTAACCTCGAAGTTCCAACATTTGGATCTGTGGGAATCCAAACATAAAGTCAATCATGACGGTGCATGAGTGTGTTAAAGCGACACTAATTGACCAAATCCGCTTTGATGGCAAGAAGGTTAATACTTTGCAGTAATCTGCACGCGTTGAGGTGGTGTACTCCCTGCTTTTTAATTAAACTTCACTTTGCATGTCTCCTTCAGAGGAAAATGATGTATATGTCACTCAGCAGACAGCTGTAAAGTCGGTATGGAGGCCAGCAGATGGGAAGGGAGACAGTTTCTCTATTAGGGAAGAAATGTTCAGTGAAGGGCTGCGCTAAGGACTTTTTTTGGAGGGAAAATTAAAAGTTCTGTGTTCAGTGGTTCTCAACTAGCATTGCTTCTTTTACAGTACTTTATTGTACAAAAGTAAACAAAACTGAAATAATTCTTTGAATATGCCACAAAACAGTCATTTTCAGTCAAATTCGACAGTTCAAAACCGGGAACTGCAGGAATAGCAGTAGATTACCGATTCATAATCTCCATCTGCTGTTAGTCGAATCACCTGTAGATGGTGCAAGCGGCTGTTGACGAAGACTAGAACAACTGTTAGAGTGTCATTCATTTCATTTAATGATAAAAAAAGACGATTATCAGAGCCAGTATGTATAAAGAAAAGCTGATAAAGACACAAAAGCTGTGTTTATGTTTAATTCAATGTCTCCACGGTTTACCTGTGTGTGCAACATGTAAGCAGTTTACACCATGAACGAGATTATAACGTTATTCACCGATGCTGATGTACAGATTAAACATTAAATCTGAGGTAGACATAAATTATCTGGGATGTTAGTGTCCTTATATCGCGGCGCTGTGCTGCAGTAGGCCTACTAGGGTTTCCCTCAATATGTCCATGATTCCCCTGGAGCCTTAAAAACAGATCATTTCAGAAAAAAGGGTCAGAATGAGGGTTGAAAATAAATTTATATTAGATTTTGGTTAAAAAAAACTTAATTAACATTATAAGTGAACCTCAAGGAACATTAAAATAATTAAAAAATCCACATCATGACCCCTTTACTATAGAGAGCCTAAGTCCTTCCCCTTCCAGTCGACCACCATGGGACCTTATTTCAGTATGGTAGGTAGTCAATGGCGAGAGACAACAAATATTTTGATCTCATTTGAACTGTGCTCTGAGTTACACATATGATGTGAAGACTGTGAAAATACATAATTACAAAGACTACAAACCCCAAAGGCGCACATTTTCTCTCAATGAAAGAAACTAACTTTGCTGAGGCTAATCATAATGTTACGCCGTCATGCCTGGGTGTTTTGTTCCAGACTGCACACACACGAGCAGGGGATCTTGCTCGTTGTTTCACTTCCCGGGAGATGTAGTTCATTGAGTGATTTTCACATAAAACTAAATCTGTTTTATGACAAACTGCGACGTTTTTGACTTTCAGAATTATCTTTTAAATTGACAAACATCATATGTGTAATTCAGGGCACAGTTCAGATGGAATAAAAAGATAAGTTGTCTCTCGCCATTGACTACCATTCATATTTTTTTCGAAATAAGGTCCCATGAGCCAGAAGTGGAGGGCTCTATTTTGAAATTTTCGTGATACTCTTTTCCAGGATTCTTTGATGAATATATTTATTTGAAACTGAAATCTTTTGTAACATTATACATATTTTACTGTCACGTTTGATCAATTTAATGGATCCTTGTTCAATAAAAGTATTTTCTTCTTATTTAAAAAAAAAATTCTGACCCTAAACTTTTGAATGAGAATGTGTATTGCTGGTATTTATACATTCTTGTTCTTTCCCTGCCGTACATGACCATCAGCAGCAACCCACCATGAGCGTTACAGCCCACCACGTTTTATCCATTGACCACATCAATATTAATAGACACTTTCCTCGGTTTCATGCTGATGCTTGTTTACAGCAGTGGTTTGGAGAGAATGCATAGCGAGAACACTCACAAATGTTAAGACCTTAGAATACAAGAAAAGCTCTCTCTCTCTCTCTTTTTTAAAAAGCCATCCTTCTGTATAATACAATTCAGGAGGAAATTTGACAGATGTTCTTTATCATTCTCACTCAGTCATAAAATTAAATTATACCAGAAGATATACCAAATAGGCCTAGCATAAATCTTGACCCTGCAAATTTGAACTGTCACTATCTGGAATCAGAAATCCATTATAATAACTTAAATAAGTCAAGTCAAGACAATCTCATGCTAACGGAGTGTCTTTTCACACCCAAGTGCAGATAGTCCGCATTGTTAGCAGATATTTCCACTAACTCTGCCCACCAATACCTGGTTGAAAGACATTCCAGACAAAATGACAAAAGAAACCCAGAATAAAGTGGGTGGCATTATCTTTTGGCATGACCAACCCAAGTTCGAATCCACCTTTTTCCAAAGGTACTGCTCTCATCACATATCAGGTGTTTATTTTACATAAAAATGAAGAAAATATTTGAAAAGTGGAAATAAAGTGTTTAACGGTTAGGGGTGGGTTTTTAGGTAGTATGTCCCAATAAGGCTGCATTTGTTTATGATTTGAATAAATGTAATCATACACTGAATACATCGTTGTTATTGCACTGTTTTAAAATGTAGCCTTCTACAATACAGTGAGGTGCAAATAGTCTGGCACTATTTTCACTAAGTAGCCTATAAATAGCATCAAACAACTTTTTATACGTAGCAAAGGACTTTTTGCATTTAGTGTAAATAGCCCCTGCCTTATCATAAACCTTATATACCAAAGATGTGACTGGCAGGCCTTCTCTCTGTGTGTCTTCTACAGTCCCAGCAGAGGTGTATTGCTGTGTTTGCACTGGTTTGCTGCTTTGCTGTCCTGGTCGCTTTAATTTTCTCTGCTGTGGACGTCTGGGGAGAGGATGAGGATGGTGTCACTGAGGAGAACTGCAGCAAAGATTGTCGGTAAGAAGTAGTCCTTATAGAGCATACCCTGATTGTTAATTGCTACAGTACACACAGTGTGAAAAGACCAAAAAAGTAGCGTACACAATGGAGCACCGCATATTCAGCTCTGCTTTGTACCTTTTGCCAACATGAGCTAGTTAATTGCATTTTGGCAGTGTATTTCTTCCTTTGGAATAGATTTAAACTTTGCAGCTGACTTAAAGGGATAGTTCACTTTGAAATAAATTTTTGGTATGTTTTAGCTTACCTCAAGGGCATCCAAGATGTAGGTGTCTTTGTTTCCGGAGTAGTTTCAATTTTAATATTTTTAGGTCAAACTGGTCTTGTCTGTCAGTCATGTAATGCAGGTCTATGGTCACCACCTCAAAGAGCATGCGCAGAGAAGTCCAAATTAAACATAATTTAATGACTCGTAAATGTAAGTACACATCGATGGCCTAAGACTTGAAACGAGCGGTTTGTGTGAGAAAACGAACAGTATTTATATTGTTTCATGAATATTGAAAACAGTTTACCTTTAGTGTTCCATGGTAGAAAGGAACTCGAATGGGTTTAGAAATGCTAAATGAATAATTGGAATGCAATGTAAATTAGTAAATCTTTTTTTTTTTCATTCCTTTAAGACTTGCTTGCACAACAGTTTTTTTTAAATAATGTGCAACACAATAAGAGCTGACATATGCATTAAGAAGGTAAATAGGGTCAATTTCGATTTCATGTTGGCATCAATATATAGGCTATGTTGTGCAGAGCTTGACATTAACACGGGCCAACCCACCAAATGCGGGTGTATTTCAGCAGTGGTGTGGAACAGTCACTCCTAGCCACTTTGGCTTTGAATTTTATATAATATAGGCCTATGCATTTTTCAATTGTAGTCTTTTAAAAAGGCATCTGAAATAAGAAACTATAAGTGCAATGTAAATCCAATCAAATATTGGTTTTCCGATACATATCAATACTGAAACATCTGAAACGCTTCCAACGCTAATTTCCCACAGAATAGATACATGATATACCAGCTGCGCTTTCTCGCTCTCTCATCTCTCTGACACACAAACCGCTACGCCTCACTCACTTTCATTTGCTCCGGGTGAATATTGTTGTTTTTACAGGACTTACTGCTCATATTTTACTCACTATTTGTGCTCACACCCAAGTGCATTCACATATAGCCGCCTTTCAGTATTAAATTTAGTTGTTTTTTTTTCCTCTGTATATTGCGCTTAAACAGTCAAATACACACAAAATAATGTCACAATTCCAAACTTGTCAAGCATTCATACACAATCAGATACGTTTTAATTGAACATAAAGAGTTGAGAAAGAAAATGCATGTGTGACATGGTAATGGATCCGTGTGTCAGGTGTTAAAGTGACAGGAACCTAATATACCTGCTGCCAAATTATGAGATGATATTAAACGTTTTTCCCCATTGCATCTAGGTCAAAATTGTGGCTAGTGAAAATGCTGAGGCTAGTAACTTTTAGAAAACCACTAACCAAAAAAGTTAACGTCAAGCTCTGATGTTGTGCATAAAACTGTGGAATATATGAAGAGTTCAGATGCAAAAGCCTCTAAATGCCATTTGAAATTTTCTTCTTTAATGATGATTTTGATCAAACTTGTATATTTAAGTTCAGTAATTTCACTTAAATAACAATTAATAAGTAATTATCATTGCTATTTAAGTGAAATCACTGAACTTAAATATACAAGCTTGATAAAAATGATCATTCTAGAAGAAAATTTCAAATGGCACTTAGAGGCTTTTGCATCTGAACTCTTCATATGCAGCAAACTAACATCTCTGACATCAATGTGCTTTTAGCATTGTCCTTGTGGAGAACATCCCAGGGGAGCTGTCATTCAATAGTTCAAACCATGTTTCTCTCACTGTGGGTCTCAACCACCTTTTGGACCAAGCAAAATTGTCAATTGAGATAGTGTCCCCATACTGGGATCTGACCTCCATCGATCAGGAGTCACGGCATTATTCTGCGTATCAGGTTAGTTAGCCTGCATTTACCCTTTTAGAGTTGATGAGAAAATATGAATATAAACACTTGAAGTGATTATTTCCTTTTTTTATTGATATGCGGCATTAGCAGTACAGTTACTATAAATTTACATAAGCTGCATGTCCAAAATATGTGATTTGGTTTAGCTTTATAATTAGGGATGGACTGATATAAAAATTCTGATACTTTTGTTTATATTATTGAATGATACTGTACAGAGGATATTTATTTTGTGGTTTTGCTAAATATTTCATTTTATAATGTTATTAAATTATTAGTGAATAACTTGTTTGTTATAAGTTAGTATAAGTTATTAGACTAGTCGACATTTATGGAGTCCATGAAAGGTCATGGATGGGAGGAAAAAAATCTTTTCAATGCTTTTGTGCCGTTTTTCAAGAGAATGCGAACGAAATATTGTAGGTTTGTGAGAGAATGCAAAAGCATTTAAAAATATATTTTTCCTGCCATCTCATCATTTTTACCAACTTGAGTGGTGAAATGAGTATGCACAAAATATCAGAATTTTTAAAAAATCTAAATAAAAAGAAAATCGGCCAATAACCAATGTAGTACGGATATATTGTGCATATACTTCATGATCATACCGATAAATTCCACACCTAAAAAGGTCTGATTTATTGTCATTGGCATATATTTCATATGGGACTAATATTATAAAATCTTTTCCTATTTTCTAGGGTCAGTATTTGTTTCAGAGATTATTAAGCCTGAAGTCTCGAGGTGTCAAATTAAAGATTGTCAGAGACCAGCCCGATTCCATCTGTAATGACCGCTGTAAGTGAATGCAAATCTCTTATGTTTAGTGATTCATTGATTTCTGTCCGCCGAAGTGCTGAATAAAGTACTAAAGCAGTTCTCTCGAGGCAAACGCTGTAAGATCACACTCACACTCACACACATCTGTCATAACCTGGCACAACTCCTTGGGCTTTTCTCAGCACCAGTCCCACAAGGCTACGCACAAGGTCAAAATATCACAAATGTGCAATATTGTTTCTGCCAGAGTTGAATGACAGACAGATAGATCTCTCGTCAAGGTTGAGCGCTTAACTGTTCTCCAACCGTTCCCCACATGGCTGTCTGTCTCTCCCAGATGTAGAAGAGCGCTACGTCAACATGACGGCCCTCACCAGAGGTAGACTGCTTTCCTCCTTTTGGGTAGTGGACAGGAAGCACATTTACATTGGCAGTGCTGGCATGAACTGGAAGGCACTGTCCAAGGTAAAGTATATTTCGATTTACTGTGGCCTCGAAAAGTATTTCGTTTGAAGAAACAGCACAAAAAGGTACAAAAGCTGTCACTGGGGCTGTACCTTTTCAAAAGGTAAACTTTTGTCCATTTTAGGTGCTAATATGTACATATTAGATGTTAATACTGTATGTACATTTTAGGTGTTAATATGTACATTTTAGGTGCTAATAAGTATATTTTAGGTGCTAATATGTACATTTTAAGTGTTAATATGTACATTTCAGGAGCTAATATGTACACTTCAGGTCCTAATATGTACATTTTAGGTCCCAATATGTAAATTTCAGGAGCAAATATGTCCATTTTTGGTCCTAATATGTACATTTTTAGGTGCTAATATGTACATTTTATGTCCCAATATGTACATTTCAGGAGCTAATATGTCCATTTAAGTCCTAATATGTACATTTAGGTGCTAATATGTCCATCATAGGTCCTAATATGTACATTTCAGGAGCTAATATGTCCATTTTGGGTCCTAATATATACATTTTAGGTGCTAATATGTCCATTTTATGTCCTAGTATGTACATTTTAGGTGCTAATATGTACATTTTAGGTGTTAATATGTACATTTTAGGTGTTAATATGTACATTTTAGGTGCTAATATGTACATTTTAAGTGTTAATATGTACAATTTCAAAAGATCTAATAGTCCATTTTAGGTCCATTTTAGGTCCCAATATGTACATTTTAGGTGCTAATATGTCCATTTTATGTGTTAATATGTACATTTCAGGAGCTAATATGTCCATTTTAGGTAGGTGTTAATATGTATATTTTAGGTGCTAAAATGTACCATACCAATATGCAGCCTTTGGGTACAAAAGTGTAGCCAACCTTTTGAAAAGGTACAGCCCCAGTGACAACTTTTGTACCTTTTTTTCTGAGAGTGAAGTATTTCACATTTCATAACGAGATATTGTGATTCTTGTCCCTGTTTTGTTTGTTTCAGCTGAAGGAGCTGGGGGTGATCGTGTATGACTGTAGTTGTCTGGCTCTGGACCTGCACAGGATCTTTTCTTTCTACTGGCAGCTGCATTACAGAGACTACATCCCTTCAATCTGGTCCAAGAGAGTCACGGCCGTGTTCAGCAGAGACAAGCCCCTCCAGCTCAGACTCAACAATACAGACGCTTCTGCCTATGTGTCGGTGAGATCAATAAATATCTCTCTTCTTTGTCTGACTCTGGTGATCTGCCAGTGTACATCTATTTTTAAATTACAAAGTGAAGAATGATAGTCGCCACACATTTTTCTCTCTTATCTTCAGTATCCTGAAACTCATTTCTGTCTTGACAACTCTATATTACCGACCCCAAACATTTGAACCATATATATGTGTGTGTGTTTGTGTGTGTGCCTACTTGTTAGTTAGCCAAACTTGACTCCCAAAACCTCCTTTTGGGGAAATTCTCGTTTGTAAAAACGGCATAAAAATAAAGTAAATGCAGATTTTTTAATATATATTATTATTATAAAAAATGCTGAAAGTTTGGTAGGGTTAGTTTATAGTATTTATAGCTAGCTGCATAAAAAACTACAGAAGTCTATTCTATGTCCCAGCTAAGTAAACAACATGATGTGTCAATAACGTAGGCGTGTGTGTGTTCTTGTATGTAGCCTATGAATTATGAAGACACAAATGAGTATAATGACATCACAACATAATAATGTTATTACAACGTAAACATGCTTCACTTTCTGTGTCCTTGTAAATGAAATGGCTTAAAAAAAATACTAAACAGTGTTTTTTGAAATACAAAAAAATCTGTGATGGGTAAGTTTAAGGGTAGGGTTAATGTAAGGGGATTAGAACATACAGTTTGTACAATATAAAACCTATGGAGAGTCCCCGTAAACCAAATTCAAATATGTGTGTGTGTGGGGGTGGTTAGAAAAATATGAAATTCATGACAGTACTTACTAATACATTTGACATTTTACTGCACAAACATGTCATGTTCAAATCCCCAGTTCCATGCAGTTTGTAATATGTTTACGTCTATGTCCAATCTAATTACAAAGATTTTTATGTAAACTGACCTTTCATTGGTTCCAGTGGATATTATCTGATTAAGGAAAGATAACCATGCAGGTAATTCATCCCAGTGACTTTTATCCACACCAAGCTGCGTCACATGTGAGGATACTAATTTGAGTATAATGAATCTTGACAACCTTTCAGCAACAGGATGTTTACTCTACACATCTGAGACATCCATCATCCCATTCAAATGAATAGTGCTGTAATGTTATCAGCTGCAGGGAGACATTTCTAGCTCAGTGATAAAATCCTTCTCCTGACAATGATGTATGGACACAGACGGCCATCTCATTACCTTGCTCTGGTGTGCCGGCCAAACTTATTTAAGCGGGGGGAAAAAACTTTTAAAAGAAAACTGCTGTTTTATCTTTTCCCCCCTACTTTTTTTTCATAGGCGTCTCCAGATCTGTTTTGCCCCAAAGGTCGAAGCAGAGATATAGATGCTGTACGACATGTGATTCGAGAAGCAAAGAGATTCATCTACATCTCTGTAACTGATTACCTGCCCTTAGTCAACCGCACCTTCAGAGGATCAGCAATCATAAGGTCATTTCAGCACTAACAACTGATTGAGGGTTATTGATAAGCAAATATTGCCATCAGAAAAACCCTTCTTAAATGGGTCATATGATGCTATTTTCAAAGATCATTATTTTGTGTATTGTAAAAACAGTATCATTTAACATTGACATGTACATTTTGTATTCTGTTATCAACCATAATCCGTAACAGGGGGTGGGCGGATGAATCTAGCAAACCTTACCGCTTATTCTTATCTTAGTTATAGATGAATCTACCCCCAAAAGGAACTGTGATAAAGTTTATCTTATAATTGTACAGACAAAGCTCAGTCTTTTCTAATGTAGGATACATTATTGGATACAATCACATTACATTAAAGAACAATTATAGATCATAACGGAGTCGACCGAAGTACAAACAATTTTATTGATACAGAAACGCTAGATCAGCATCTGTTTTGCAAGATTCGATGTACTTTAGCTCTCGCCATTACGTAAACGCACAACCAATATTTATTCTTGTGCTGCCCCTCGCTCGGTCAACAGCTTTCTTCCTCTCCCTCACCTCCTCTGCCGAGTACCGTCTCCTTTTCTTTTCACTAGAACTTAACTTGTGAAGCATTATCCATCTTCCCGTGTTCTTTTAGCTAGTATTGAGCTTGAGGGGGGCGTATGTGTTTCGAAATGCCGTAAAGCAGTTCGTGTTTCTCGCTCTTTCTCGCTTGTTCTCGCTTCTCACGAGACTTCCTATTTCCAATTTACCGGGACGCTAGTCTTCATGTTGCAAGGCTGGTTTTCCGCCAGGGAACGCTGGGGGGAGCGGGAAAAGTCACCATTCTCACCAGAACTGGTTATTTAAACATCCAAATTATTTCTAAATGGATTTATTAAGTTGAAAAAGTTCCCAAGTGCTGCTTTAATAAAATACATTTTCTCAGAAACGGAGACAACGATTTTAAAAACTGATTCACTAGTCGGATTTCGCACTATATGAGAGAATACTCACCCTCAAAATTGTCGATGTAGTTCGAAATATATAATGTAATATATATGGTAAAACTTTCAAAATTTCTGTGTAAACAATGAGTGACGTGCATGCGCAAGCGATCACTTCCGGCGGAACGTTGGACATGATTCAGTTGGACATGGCTGATTCAGATCAGTTGGACATGGCTGTGGTTACACGAGGTAAAAATTATATAAATACTTTCGTTTTCGTTCGTTTTCTCACACAAACCGCTCGTTTCGTGTCTTAGGCCATCAATGTGTACTTACATTTCCGAGTCATTAAATCATGTTTAATTTGGACTTCTCTGTGCATGCTCTTTGACATGGACCCCCTAAACCTGCATTATATGACTGATAGACAACAACGGTTTGACCGAAAATGTCAAAATTGAAAATACTGTGGAAACAAAGACAGCTATATCTTGGATGCCCTTGAGGTAAGCTAAAACATATCAAAGATTAATTTCAAAGTGAACTATCCCTTGAATGCAAAACCGGCTTCTGATGCAGCACGCAATGTAACTGGGCGGGTTGAGACAAACCCAGAAGCGATCGTGCATAGAGCCTATTGCAGATTTCGAACAGAGATAGCGAACAAAGAGGAAAAACTACGGACTGCAGCTTTAGGGAGATTAAAATGTGCATACATAATGGTCAAAATCACAAAATAACAAAGCAATTAAAACAACTGCAATATGCTCTTCATTTAATATTTTCATATAAAAATAATCTAGTTATGCTTATTCAACAATATGTGTACCATCTCTGTTCTTTCCCTCCCCTTTTCTCTCTTTTTTTTGTCATTGATATTCTTTGCAAATAAAGCATAAAAAAACACTAAAGAAAAAGGTAAACATGAAAACGCATCAAATGACCCCTTTAATATAATACACATTTCAAAATAAAAGACATTGTGATTATTTGGAAAATCAACTTTTTGTGTTGTGGGAAGCTAAGATATTCCTTAAGCATGCTATATTTTATGCTTTTTTATTTTTCCACATCTACCAATTTTTTACAAATTTCCTGAATCAAGTCTTGCTCCATTATTAAAAAACATTAATTAATTGTGTGTATATATATATATATATGTGTGTGTGTGTGTGTGTGTGTGTGTGTGTGTGTATCTAAATATTCAAGATAGGTTCTTTGAAGATACAGTAGGTCTTGTTTTTGTTTGTAAATTTGTCTTGAAAGATTTTTCAAGGACACTAAGAATAGATTTTTTGAAGTGTATCTTTTTAGAGCTGTTTATAAATTGACAAAATTGTTCTTTTGGAGATTTATCACTTTTATTATTTTCTTGGGTTCAGATACTGGTCGCCAATAGATGAGATGCTCCGGGAGGCTGCAGCACTGAGAGAGGTCAAAGTTCGTCTCTTAATCGGTCTGTGGAGACATACACATCCCCTGACCTTTAGCTTTATGTCATCAATGCAGGCTCTTTGCACAGGACTGCCAGTCTGCTCTATAGAGGTGGTGAGGAAACAATCTACTTCATTGATCAGTTGATATAAGTGCACACACACCCAAACATATATTTAATACTATTTTCACAATAGGTTGTATTTTATATATATGTGTGTTTGTTTCAAATCAGAGATTTTACAGTGGCAAGGAGCAGATGGGAGGATTACAACACAGGATAAATGAGAATAAATATATGGTGACAGACAACGCAATATACATTGGTAAGACTCTAGCACTCTCTCTCTCACACACACATACACACACACACACACACACACAATGATTGTGGTTAACTGGCACGAAATGAACGGACAAAAAATGTACATTGCCAAAGCAGTACAAAATAAGTAAAATAAAATAGGTAGAGTAAAATAACAATAGTGCAATTGGGCAAAAAAACACAACAAAAAAAAAAACAGTAAAATAAACAAATAAAATAAACAGTTAAGTCTAATTTATTAGTTAACATCAGCTAGCTAATATGAACTAACAATGAACAATATGTGTAAAACTAATAAAACTAATGTTAGTTCATAAAAACACTTCATTGTCTGTTCATGTTTGTTCACAGTGCATTAAGGCATATTACTGTAACAGATGTAGTGTGAGGACCTATTCAACATTGTTTAGTGTGTTATGTTTCTTTTTAAGCATAAATGCCTCAAAAGTAGTCTTGATTTTTCTTTTCCGGTAACATAGGTTACAATATTCCTCATTTAAATAATTCCTACCCAAGGTATATGCAAATTAAAGGGGCGAGGCCTGGTTGAGTTGTGTTAGAGGCAGAGTTGGGAAAGTTAACTTTCTACATGAACTAGTTCAAGTTCTCACATTTAAAAATGAACAAGTTCAGTTCATACTTCAAAAAAAATGAACTAGTTCAGTCATAGTTTTTTTTTTTTTGTTCCACATGTTGCAAGCTTTTTTTATAATTATTATTGCCACAGCCCATATACAACCACAGATAACCATCTATTTTATCGACGGGCAAAGATTTTTCCCTATCCTCACCGACCTCGTCAAATCCTGTTTAAATGATCATACGCCGCCTCCTCGCTCGCTGCTTTTTCGATGGCGGCTGCGGCGCGACACTGGTGTCTTGTGTTGCCAGATTGTGTGTTTTTTCTCTACATGAAGAGTTCAGATGCAAAAGCCTCTAAATGCCATTTGAAATTTTCTTCTTTAATGATGATTTTTATCAAACTTGTATATTTAAGTTCAGTAACTTCACTTAAATAACAATTAATAGGTAATTATCATTGCCATTTAAGTGAAATTACTAAACTTAAATATACAAGCTTGATAAAAATAATCATTCTAGACGAAAATTTCAAATGGCATTTAGAGGCTTTTGCATCTGAACTCTTCACATATTGAGGCCTGTTTACGTGTGTTTTAGCCGGGTTTTCGCCTGGAGGGCTCTATTGAAATCTGGCACCCTATTGTAAGAAGTTAAACTGAGGCCCCGTCCACACTACTGCGTTTTCGTTTAAAAACTGAGAATTAAAACGAATACGTTCTCCGTCCACACCAGCGTTTTATCTGCGTTTTAGAATTGATCTCCGTCCACATTAAAGGGGTGATGAACTGAGAAATCAAATTTACCTTGAGCTTTTGACATTTAAGCGGTCAGCATATTATACGAATATCCTGTAAGTTTCACAACTGAAAACGTCCTTGTTAGACCAATAAAAGCTTTTATTGACACCAGCCTCAGCAAACGACTCGTGTTTCAAAGTGGGGAACTATGACGTCAAAGAGGATAAAACACTACCCCCACAGAAGAAGATCAACGCCTAGTTCAACACGGCCGGTTTAGCCCGGAACGGTGAAAGAACGGTGCTGTGCCGTCTATATTGGATCTGACAGGAATTGTGCAACACACGAACTCTAGGTCGAATCATTCCGGTTGCCATTTTACAACATTGGATGTTTTCAAAACAATTTCCCCCGAGTGCATCGACGGGTGAGTTGAAACTCATTATAATATGCAAAACTGTTCTCCACTCACAGCAGTGGGCGTTTACTTCCAAGTCTTCAGTGCAAGACGCCCATAAAAACCGACAACAATATAATAAAATTTAAAAAGCCAGGATACGTCATGACTGATAACACCCAAAGCCGAACGTCAGCTTCTGCGTCATCGTTTCTAAACTCCTCCGTTTTGTTCCGTCTTCACTAAAACGCCCTCCGGCGATTAAAAACGCAAAACGGACCTGGAGCGTTTCTAATCTCCTCCGTTTTAGGTCTTCTTTGTTTCCGTTTTAGCCTGGACGGGAGGTGCAAACGTAGCAAAAGGTCTCCGTTTTTTAAACGAAAACGCAGTAGTGTGGACGGGGCCACCAGAATGAACGTGTTCACAGTATCGTTCATCAGGCAGTAATACAGTACGTTCAGTTCACGTTCGTCCAAAATATGAATGCGTTCAGGCACAACACTGGTTAGAGGTGTGTTGTCACATTTCCGAAACGCACTCGAAGTAGTTGACCAATCACAAAACACTGATCCAGCCAACCAATCAGAGCACATTGTGCTTTTCAGAAGGAGGGGCTTCATAGAGACAGAAACTAAACAGGGGTGCGTTTCCCGTACAATGACGTAGTTCGCTGCTTTGCTACCATAGGACGATGCATCGTTGGAGAAATCAACTAGCTAATCACGACTGTTTCCCGAAACCCACTGTCGCAAAGTATCGTTCAACCACGTTGGTTTCGCACATGGTGGAGTAATAACTACTTTTAATGAAACTGTTTGAGATCCAATTAACGCTAGATTTTTTAATATAAATTATAGACATGTCGTCTGAGGACTATTTCTAATTGTTCTCAGTTATTCTGCTTTATTACCAGACTCAATATTTGGCTCGTTCTTACATAGTAGAGCACGTTCACACATGCGCACTCTTCAAACACGTTACTTCAAATCTTTTGAAAAACTAAAAGACGTAAATGACATTTGTATGTATTCTAAATAAAAGGCACCGGTTGTACTGGATGTCATCTTGCTTATTTTGCTCAAGATAAGGATTTATTACGTCTAAATCTGATGCCAAATAGAAACTATGCCTCTAACCGCAGGTCGAGAGCTGTCGTTCAAACCACACAACTTTGCGATGCTGTTTGCGAATGTTCGTTGGAACGATGGTTTCGGGAAACACCGACTCGTTGAACTATGCTGATAACGACGGAACTTGCGACCATAGTTGGCTAACGATGCTTTCGGGAAACGCACCCCAGAGCGTTACTGGCAGACTGGGAAGTGAGGAGCTGCAACAATGTGAAGTGCTTTTTGAACATTCAAGCACTATTCTAGTAAAACCGCCCCCCAAGACTTTGTGAAACGGCATAATAGGTACTCGTTAATTCCTATACAATTTAGCGTACGTACTGCACTCAAACTTTGCACTTTCTCTTCAAACTTTCTCTCAAAAAGGGAATCTGGACTGGGTTGGGAGTGAGTTTGCCTTAAACGCAGGAGCCGGGCTGGTGATTCAGGAATCGGAGAACCAGCAGAAAGGGCCTGACTCGATTGTAGAGCAGCTGACTGGTGCTTTTGAAAGAGACTGGTTTTCACCTTACACAATAAGCCTGCTATCTGGCAGCACAACCCTTCAGGAGAGCCAACATGGGAGGCAGAAACTGCAATCTCTGAAGACAAAAGCAGAGAGCAGAGAGCATGAGTGAGCGGTGGGAATGTCTCTCTGAAGCGGGACCAATACGCCAAGGACTTTGTGCCTCAGAACATCTGCGCCATGACTTACAATTTGAGTTTTCAAATGCTGTCAATGGAACTGAATTATAATCTCTGAAGGACTTCTGTGAAGGAAAAGGATTCTTTTTAACATTACACAGTACAGCACTTTTAGTGGAAAAACGGATTACACTTTCGCTAAATCTTTATATAATGCATGCCTATAAACAGAACTATGGAAATGATTTCCTCCAATATTCAGACTTTTCTTATTTTAAACCAAAATATTCCGAGACTCAATAGTGCTCATGGAAAGGACATTACCAAATTTTTATAATCATTGTGGTTTTCCTCAAGATGTTCATGAGCCATGTTTTTTTTTAAAAATCAAGCACATTTTTACAAAAGTATTTTATGAAAAAATCTGCACATATGCCAACTAACACACATGCTCAATACATTTACAGCATTATACTGTCATTGCTTTCTGGTCGACTAGATACTGTGGCACATCTTACACTGTGTATATATATATATAGATATATATACATATATAAAGAATGTTTACATGATGCAGCATGCACAGCCTTGAAGTACTGTACAATCGTACACACAAGAAGAGACTGTTTTTCTTATTGAATACTTTAAGCTTGTACCCTTTAAATGTAGCTTTTATATGTAGCTTTATATATTATCCTTTAATTGACTGTTTTAATAAACAGTCACTGCTGATTGTTGATCTTATAATACAGACCATATATGTTGCATTGATTTCTCAGTAGTTTGTGGCCTGATGCTTGAGCATGTTTTGCCTTATATATGCTGCCATGAACTGTAGCTGCTGTTGCTTTCTGGATGACTACCTCTTATGATGCATCTTATGATATACTGTATACATAATAGACATATATAATAAAACTGCTTTCTGCAGCATGGGTCATATATTGGAATGAATTATAGTCCCATGTGCATAAGATACTGATGTTGTTGTTGTTTTTTTGTATGAACAATTTATGATGTGATTAAATGTATAGCACCTTAACCGACTGTTATAATTAAATATTAAAGAGTTCATTCAAAATTGACTGCCAGTCTTAAATAGGCAACATATGTCCCATTGATTTCTCGCTGTGTTGATATTTAGTCATTTGTGTCGGCAAACCTTTCTCAGAACCAAATCAATTTAAACCCTGTCTCAGGGGAGCAATTTGTTTGGAAGAGCCAAAGCAGTAACAAATTGTCAGAATTCATTCATACTTCTCACACTTCACATCTCACTGAACACATGGAAACTCATAGGCAATTGTTCATCTTCCTTTTAAACATATCATCTATAAAGAATACAAATCGTAGGCCTACACAATTTTTTTATTTGTGGTTTTTAATGATTAATGGCATGGTCAATTACAAAAGCAAAATATATATTTATATATTATTTATATATTATATATTATTTATTTATATATTATATATATATATATATATATATATATATATATATATATATATATATATATATATATTTATTACTAAAAATAGATCTCTTCACTTCAGAAGGACTTTATTAAGCCCCTGGAGCTGCATGGATTACTTTCATGATGGATCGATCCAATTTTTTGGGCTTCAAAATCTAAGTACCATTCACTCATTATAAAGCTTGAAAGAGCCAGGAATATATATATATATATATATATATATATAATTCCGATTGTGTTTGGTTTAACCCTCTGGGATTGTTCGGCCCAAATGGACCCGAAGAATTTAAATACATTTTTATTTTTTTTTTAAATCACAGCTGCCTCGGAATGGTCCGAAATTTGGTGACTTTGTTGGTATTTGGTATTTGAACACCCCAAAAAATTGGGGACAGGATGTGAGTAGTCTAAGTGGTTGTAAAAAAAATAGTCACACTTGGGGTGTTCGGGTCCAAATGGACCCGCATGGAAAATGAATGGATAATTGGCAAAAATGTGAAAATACTGAGTTTTTTTGTGTGTACAATCTACAAATCAGCCACGATCTTGAAACACACACACACACACACACACACACAAAAACAAAAACACACACTTTTATACACAAACACACCAAAAAAAAAAATTTTCAATATTTTTTCTATTACGTTCAATGGGGGGAAATTTTGTCATAATTATTGCATTAATACTAATTATAATTTTTTTTTATTTTTGAAATTTTCTCAAAACACCAAAAAAAAGAAAAGAAAAAATATTATAAAAAAATTAGTAAAAAAAAAAAATATGATTTTTTTTAATGAAATTATGAAAATTATGTGACCCGAACACCCCGAGTGTGACTCTGAAAGAGGGTTACAGTTACCTAGAAATTATCTAGTAAATTATGGGATGATTTATTTCATTTACTTCATTTTTCACTTACCCTTTAAAGGTGCCATCTGCTATAAAAAATCAAATCATACTTCATATTCCATACCAGATGGGGGTAGTATAGGCCATATACATATATGGTATAGGCTACCTCCAGAAAGTGAGTTGTGCCGCGGCCGTGCTCGCGTGCACTCTCACGTCTTCAAAGAACACGAGCGAGCGCTGTTTTGCTCTCTCTCCCTAGTGCATATTAATCAAATCATTTGATACGATAGTAAAAGGTTGGAAGACCGCAGTTTCACCACGTGGAGCATTTGGAGATTTTTAGAGAGACTCAATGAACAACATCTCAACACTAAAATATAAAGGCCGTCTCATAGACGCCTGTATAAAATATAAGCCGGTGCATTTCGACGATATGGGAAAATAAAAGCCCAGGCTATTTGCGAGTGCGCGGCGCCAGAGGTGAGGCGTTTATTAGTGTGAGCGCGCTGGGGCGGGCACGCAACTTACATTCGCAGCCTGACTCATATGAGTATTCAATGTGCGGCGGCTCGCTGACAGCGACGGCTCGCTGACAGCGACGGCTGGCTGTTTTGAATGAGACGACCCGGTTACTGTGAACGGGGGAGCGCTTTATGAACATTCTGTGACGCGCGAACAGTGCCGGGGACAGTGTGTCTGTTAAGAGTGAGCGCTCGTGAGTGGAAGCGGCATGCCATATTTACTACTCATCTGTATCATTTTGTCTGTTACAGGGAGTATTGGAGATGGATGCCCATGTAGTTTGCCATTAATTTAGTTATGTGGATGAGGTTGGCTTCAACCTCACCAAAACCAGGCGCCATGGAAGAAATGTAATAGGACAGGGGGCAATTACCAATGTCCCTTCACAGCGTGGGGGTAATATATAACTACTGTATGTGCTGCCATCACTCAAAACGAGGTCTTCCATCACTATGCCCCACTGGGTCCGTACAACATGCTCACTTTTCTGCAATTGTGATGTAATTTAGCCTACACAATGCTTGTCCCTGATCCAGATCAGGAGCCTGCTAGATTTTTGGTTATATGGAACAATTTTATTTTTTGGGCTGTTCCAAATCTGGTTTGCCACCCATTCACAATTTGTAGTTTTGTACCTACCCCCATATTAACCTTTTCTAAATCCCATAGATGAATTCTTCTGAGCCTGGCTATGGAAAGTGTATGATCGCCAACCCTATGCCCGCATGGCGCTTCTCCCGGCAATGGAGGATGCATGTTGGGACATAGAGGTTGCCTCTGTCCAAGGTTGGATACGGCATGCTGGGAGATACTTCCCTCAATGTTTGGCAAGATAAAACGTATCTTATGATGTGGACGAAGTATTGTGGCCAGCTTAGCGCTGGTGACTGGAGATGTGAGGCATTTTGCATTTTGTGTGCAGTTTTGGGAATTGTGTGTAGACTTTTGAAAAATGGAGACATAGTTTTGAAAACGTGTGTAAGCAGTTGGAAAAAAAACTGTAACAGTTCCAATTATAAGTTTTATGTTGTTGCTAAGACTTAAACAAAGGGTAAAGCTTTGCCTCAGCTCGCCTGCTAGCCAACATTAGTGTTTAGCTTTTGTAAGCTCTTGCTTTTGTAAGACTGTTCACCGCCTCTTAGGAAAATTAATCATGGTTTTGTGATTGATTACTGTTTGTATAGTTTTCTGACAAGTATCATGTTTAAATGGTGTATAACTTTTTATCTTAAATGTTAAAAACAACATAGGCTACCACAAACGTCCTTTGAAATCCGTGCATAAAATCCGTTCTGGACGATCCTCTTGTTTGTTAACATTCTTAATCAGGCTTGAATTGAATTGGATTAAAATTGACACCATCATTAAAGGAGTAGTTCAAACTTTTGCTGATAATTTACTCACCCCCATGTCATCCAAGATATCCATGTCATTCTTTCTTCAGTTGAAAAGAAATTTAAGGTTTTTGATGAAAACATTCCAGGATTTTTCTCCATAATGGACTTCAATGGGAAACAAATGGTTCAAGGTCCAAAAGACAGTTTCAGTGCAAACTGTTCAAAGGGCTTTAAACGATTCCAGATGATGAATAGCCTAAGGGTCTTATCAAGCGAAATGATCGCTCGTTTTTATAATAAATAAATAAATAAATAAACAACAAAGTTTAAGTTTTATAAGCTCAAATGGTCGCCTTGCTCAGTTCTGTGATGCGCGTTCGTGACTCTCCTGTTCGAACTCGTTTATCGAAATGAACGAATCTTTTTTTGCGTGTCATTTGGTTCATTGAACTACTACTTTAATATTTACATCTGAGTAGATGGTCAGTCATGGTCAGAGCCATATGGTCATGGTAAGTTATGGTCACACTGGGCCAGCACATGGGGGGAAAACAAAGTTCGGGTCGAGGCCGACAGATAGCATAATAGGACCCCTTTAACATCACTCAGCACCTTTTTAGTAGGGTGGAGCCGCTAATTTAGTCGAGATTGAGAACCTGATTCTGCAGTCTAAACTGTTCTCAACTCTTCCGCAAGATGGCGCCAAAGCCTCATATTAGATTAAATTACATTTAATAGCAGACGCTTTTATCCAAAACGACTTACAAATGAGAAGAGCAATAGAAGGAGTTAAGCTTACAATAGGACAATTATGTTCATGCTAAGCCTATGATCCTTCCAGTTTAGTTGAACGCAGTATAGGCCTAGGAATTGTATAGTGTTGCCGAAAGAGATGCGTATTCAGCCGTTTCTTGAAAATAAGATAATTTAGTAAACAACAACTTGCCCTGTAAAATTGTTTACATTCATGGCATGAGATATTGACTCACAGACATTTAAATTAACCGTTTCCCTTTCCACGTAGGCTAATTAAAATAGTTCTCAAGTAGCCCTACAGCTAATTGACTCCACCCATAGCAGAACTTGTTGGTGAGTTAATTAATGACGGGTTAAAGCACTGTCCAAGAGAGATTATATTTTAACTGGTGATGGGGGGTTGACGGCTGTTGTTATGGTAACAGATTAAGGTCAGAGATGTACTAAACCACTGTAGGAATTACGATGCTGCCCAGATCAGATGCTGCTGGGACGGAAAATGACATAAACACCCAGTAAAACTTTTTCACATATAGACCTTGTTTTTCCCCCCCATTTAATGAAGGAATCATGAAATCGCACCGAATGACAGTTCATTTTAGTTATTCACATCGTTTGTTATTTGGATTCTAATTGCTGGTGGCCTTTACTTTCTAACTCCACATGCACAGTTCGTGCTAGACCTCCAGCAGTCACGCGCACTGCAGTTTCGGCGTGGTGTCCGAGCGGCTCCGGAAGATGCTGCAGTCCTGATGGAATATTTAAACGGCAACATTCTGCGTTTATTTTCAATCTAATAACAGATACCAGTTTGTTGACGAGGAATGAGCCACACGAATTCTATGAGGTATCGCGTCGCAGCGGTGTGAATTGAAGATTTTGTTCAATGATGCAGCGACATTTCCTCCGCTCAGCTGCCTATGGAGAGGGTTAAACCATCAGTGCTGGATTTATATGGCTTTGTGTTTCTTCCAAGTGTTTTTTACTTGTAAATCTCTCTGATCGTGTAACTGTTAATATTAATATGGAGGGTGACATTCCAGACATATTAGAGCAGTTCATGGGCAGCTCTCTTGTCACTTGGGTAAGTTGCAGTTTGTTACGTGCTGAACATAGCAAACAGTATCATAGTATTTGAGTCAAAACAACTATCTCTGTCTATTTCAGTAATTTTATAGGTGTGTTGTATGTTCTTTGTGTATTCTTTTGTGGTTCAGTAGCCTATATCATTTTAAATGTATCTAAAAAGGCTATAGTCTATTCAGTGGAAGGTTCCATTGTGACAACTTTGACAACAGTGTAACATGTTATGGGGGCATGTTGTCACAAACAGTTAATGGTGGGCATTTTAATGTAGCCAAGACTTTTAGGTTTGTGTCTCTACCACTGAACTTTTCATTATAGATCTTAAACCTGCTCTGAGAAATATTCACTGGAGTGAAGTATGAACTAGCCCTGGTTTTCACTGATTATTATATTTTTGTAGTTTGCTTAACTAGTCTGCAGTGTACAAATATATAATGTAATTTTTCAATTTGAAGTCTCAAAATGCCACAAATCTGCATGTATAATTAGATAAATCATTTGTCATTTATAGAGAATGTATCTCTTCAGGACAAGGCTGTCACTTCATGACATGTCACTTTAACTACCCATTTATGTCTGTCTCAAAGGTTAAGACATTTGGTCAACTAGGTGACAAGGAGGGGAACATGCTCTCTGAATACACTGAATTAGTGGATGGAATATTCTTGAACAAGGTCATGAATCAAATGTAAGTATGTGTATGTCATAATTTGCACATAGATATATTATCCAAGCACTTAACTAAGCACATTTCATTTGAATGTAGTTGAGGTTTCAACTTCAACTCAACTCAACTTCTTATTTAAAAAAAAAAAAAAAATGGGACATATTCAAAAGTTGGGATCATTAAATATTTTTTGAAAGAAATTCATACTTTTATTAATTTAATTCTAAAGTGGCATTAAAGTGATATTTAGTTACAAAACATTTCTATTTCAAATAAATGCTGTTCCCAGTTTGCACAGATGTTTAGTTTTTCTACAAATGCAGTTTCCACACAAATATGAGGCTGTTTTCAATACTGTTATTAATAATAAGAAATGTTTCTTGCGCAGCAAATCAGCATATTACAATGATTTCTGAAGGATCATGTGCTTTGCCATTACAGAAGTAAATTACATTATACAAATATTTAAATAGAAAACATTTATTTTTATCAAATTGAAACACATTGTAAATGTTAATAATGACAATATTAGGGTACAACGGGACTAAAGGCACACCTTTAGAAATGTGCTTTTCACTATACTCCCATAGTGTGTATTGTAGAAAAAATTAAAATAAATTATTGAAAATTGATGGAGCAACAGATTTTGTGTGAAAATAAATCATAAAAGTGGTTCATTTGTTTTAAATTCTTAGCAAGGTGGGCCTTTTTAACCCAAACACACGGGGTGAAAAGCTCACATCATTTATACAAATACTTTAGCCAAAAAAATATGTTTTTAATAAAGTAAAAAATTTGTTCAAAACTATTTTTAGCAAAGTTTGTACTTTTTTTTGTTTAATTTTGATTTATATACATACTTTCATTAAAATATTCATTTTAAAAATACAGAAACAAAATTAATCAAAAAAAAAAAAAAAAGATTCTGAAAGCATTGAATGAAATCCCATAATAAATTAATATAGTTTTACAGTAGTAACAAATAAATATGACATTTTCTTATTTTATGTGTCATTATAAACTTGGTGATTATAAGGTGGACACCCAACTTGATATACAATATTTTACCATCTGAATATAACTGTTATCTCAACAAATGGAAAAATCAGCCAGCTGTATAATTATCATGTGAATTATGGTGCCTTTCGTCCCGACAGCAGGGGATGCTCTAATTTTTAATACCACACTTTTACACATTAAATAATAAAGAAAAATAATCCCTTATTAAAAAACTTTGCTTTAATTACCTTGAACAGAACTGAAAACAATTAACAAGACATTTGTTTCAAAATATAATCAATCATTTTATTAATTCTCCTTTGCTACATAAATCTACAACATTTTTAAAAACATTAAATATTAGATCAAATTAGCACACGATCAGCCAAATTTCCACGTGCATCGCTAAAAGCGGTTGTAACGAAAAGGGATTAGCTGAAATTTTGTGCCATCTAGTGGTTTAAAAGATATCAAATTCAACTGCGCATTTTACCCTGGTGTGCCTTTAGCCCTATTTTACCCTACTGTTGTTGTTTTTGTTTTTTTTGGATAAAATAAATGCAGCCTTGGTGAGCATTACAGATTTCTTTCAGAAACATAAACAAATTTTTGCTAACCCCCAAAATATTGAAAGATAGTGTATGTTCCTCAAAGGAAACTTGGCACACATTCAATTAGCTATTGAGTCTAATGTATTCATCCAAAGCAATTAAACACTTAGTTAAGTGCTATGCTTAAGGGCAGACTGTTGAAAGGGTTCTCTCAGTGACTTTTCAGTTCACAGGTTGTGTGATCAAATTCGTGCTCCCACTCCCGACGCGAAGTTACCACCACCCTTTGGTGTTGTTTGCGTCTAATATCAGGCATTTATTGCAGACGGCATGTGTTTCAGCTTTTAAATGGCTCATTCCATGCAGGAGCTAAAACACTGTATGCATTGTCATAGCAATGAAGGAACACTTTGTAGTCTGTTCAGCTGGGCAGAATTTGGATGGGTGCATATGGGTGAGTTGTTTTTGCCCCAAATTCTATTTCCATCTCTGAGACAAAAATCCATTGCTGGTTTTAAATGTTTAAAGCCCATCCATGCCATTGCACAGGGTAGTGTGTGTACTGTATATTTAATTGCCATTTAAAGGATAGTTAATGCTGAAACCTTGTATTCTCATGATGCTGAGGTTGTAAACAGTACACCATGAAGCTGAAAACTGCGTAATCCCACGGATTCAGGGAGGATGATGGATTAGAGCTTTACTGTAGAGTTATTTTTTTATTTTTTATGGTGGCACGGATCCCATCCCATACCGAAGTGCATCATGGGACAGCAGTTTTAGGTCACTGTGTCAGTACTCAAATGCTGTGTCCGAAATCTCCACTCAAACTCCCTCCCACTATATATAGTGAGCTCACCAGCATAATAGAAAGAAACATCACTTTCGGACACTACTCGATCGTCTCTCGGCGCCGTTGATTACATCATCTGTCAGCTGGTGCCGAGCCGGCTCTGGGCTAAATTGATTTTTTTTAAATAAATACATTACATTATATTGAGCTTATTTCTCCAAAATTTAAAAACTAAAAGTCATTTCTGGCCGTTTCTGTTATAATGCGCTACTCCTTACATGATTCTAACTTATTTTTATGATCAGCGCAATGCATGATGGTATGTAGGGCTTGGGTTAGTGACCATCGGTTGTACACTACTTTTCAAAATGCATTCTGGGATACAATGAGTGGACTATATAGGGTATAATAATCATCACTATACAATCGGACAGCACTACAAAATGGCGAGCTCATTAAATAGTCCACTATATAGTGAGTAGTGGGTGATTTCGGAAACAGCAAATGTTTCAACTAAGAGAGTTAAAGTCTTAGTCGAGACTTCTGCTGCTCTTTGGCTCTTTCTGTGTCTGCTTTAGTGCTGGCTAGTTGATGAATGAAGTCATGTGGAAAAAAACACACACACACAAAAAAAAAAAACACAGAATGAATGAACAGATTGTGTCGGTGCTATTATTGCTCCTACCCTTAGTCCAGGTTAATATACTAACCAGGTCTTCAGAAACTTGAATTTTTTATTACAGGAATACATTTCTTTTTTTTCTTTGTTTGTTCTTGCAGAAATCCCAAAGGGGCTGTTCAAGGTTTTAACAAAGTGTACAATGATGTCGGCCAGAGAGCTCAAAACTTGTCTGTCCTCACTTACCACATCAAATCATACTACCAGGTAAGTCACAGAAAGGAAAGCAGGTACCTTTCGAAGAGTGTTTTCAGTAAAAATCTATATGTAAAATCTTAAAACAAATGAATTAAATGTAATAATAATAATAAAGTTATTAGTGAATTCCCAATGAAGAACTACACTACCCTTAATCCCTAAAGACAAATCAGATAAGTTGCCATTATAATGAACGCTGCGAGTGTATGTTAGATATCAGGAATGGTGAGAGAACATTGTGCTTGGTACGTTTTCCTTCTTCAAATCAAACTTGGGTCTCCAGCCGACAAATTTTAAATCCCTGGCCGTGTGTCTAGAGCGCTTCCCATACCGCTTACACATTAGGTCAGTAGACGGAGAGTAGACGGTGTTAGAACACTTTCAACCACATGAGTGTTTACTCTACGAAAGCAATCCAGTCAAATGTGTTTTTTGACTTCCTCTGGAAGTGCTCGAAAGTGGACAAGCTCAGAACGTTTTAGACCCCACATCGTCCACTTGTGATCTGAACAACCAAACCACATCTTAATACTAGGTGTAAACAGGGCCTATGCCCAATTTCTGCCTTGTCTTCTGTAAAGCAGTGAAAATGGTTAATATATAACCTAAGTTATTATTTCACATTAGTTTTTGCTGCATGCATAAGTTAATTGAGAAGTTAATCTTTATTTTACTGGATTCTGCTAATTCCCAAATGGAGGCCCATTGGGTGGAAGGGCAGGATTTAAAATCATACCCTAAATTTCCTGCTACCCCCTTCCGCTCACAGAGAGCCCACCCTGAATCCTGCACATCTGTCCGTGTGGAAATAGTCTCGCCACCAGACCTGCAAGCTCCTCTCAAAGAGACTGGCCTAGATAGCAACATGCGAAGCCAACATCTGTGTAATCAGTAGCTAGGAAACAGCAATGGCCTGGAGCAAAGCTGGAAAATGACCCATTTTACATCCCATGAGACCTGTCTCTCATGGTGCCGGCTAAAGCGGTCAAAGTAATGAAAATGACCTTGAATACAGACAAGGCAAATAACTGAATTACTTCCTGTTGCTTAATTGTCACTGGAAGTCAGTGAAAGTATCGGTCTTAAGTTGACACATTTTCAGTGCTCAAGAAATGCAAACCTAATCTATATAAATAGTGCGTTTAAAATAGTGTGACGTAGGAGAACTGTTCTTATGGTAACATTTTACTTGAAGGGGTGTTCATAACCATGTATAAAACCTCATTCATATTCATGACGTGTGTCATGTCATGGTTATGAAGGTGTCATGTCAGTCTTATGCACATCCCTTCAAGTAAAGTGTTACCGTTCATACTCAGTCAGCAGCATTCATAAAAAGCACTCTGGAATCGTTGGGATTGGCTTCATTGACTTCCCTTGAGTTTTGTTAACCTGAGGAAATTCAGAGCGTTTAATCATTGATCTAGCTTATTCAGCGAAACTTAAAAACGATCTTGCCTCAGAAGAATCTGCATTAATGAATTCCCATATGGAAAAGGGACCAGCAAAATAAGCCCACCCACACCTTTTTGATTTGTGTTGTCGATTTAAATTGCACATTGAAAAGCCCTTGGGCATCTGCTGGCCACAAAGAGACATTATTAAAGGGATAGTTCACCCAAATATTCTGTCGTTAATTACTCACCCTCACATCGTTCCAAACCCGAAAGACTTTTGTTCATCTTCAGAACACAAGTAAAGATCTTTTTGATGAAATATGAGAGATTTCTGTCCTTCCATTGACAGATATGCAACTACCACTTTGACGCTTCAAAAAGTTCATAAAGGGATCGTAAAACTAATCCATATTGAGCAGTTTAGAAGAGACTCTGTCATTTATACAGACTTAGATTTAATTTAAGATATTATTCACATTTAAATATTGATTGGCAAACTTAAAAAGAAGCTCAACCGAACCTGCTTGACAAACAAGAACAACCTTCATTGGTTCTTGCTAAAGCTCAAACGTTCTGCGTAACATGAGAATGAACCTCATTGGTTCTTGCTAAAACTCAAACGTGCTGCGTAACACGAGAATGAATCGCATTGGTTCTTGCTGAAGCTCAAACGTGTTGCGTAACACAGGAGTGAACCTCATTGGTTCTTGCTAAAGCTCAAATGTGCTGCCGCTGCGCAACACGAGAATGAACCTCATTGGTTCTCGCACGTCAAGTGAACATGCTTGAACTTCCGTTTACCACACCTGATGTGTGAGTTGTGAATAAAAGCCTAAATTCAATGTGTTTACACTATAAAGCGATCGTTTCTCTTCATATTCATATGGATTCGTTTTACGATCTCTCGTAAAGATCTGAAAGTAAGCTCTCAGATTTTGTCAAAAAGATCTTCATTTGTGTTCTGAAGATGAACGAAATGAGGGTAATGACAGAATTAGTATTTTTTCTTGAACTATCCCTTTAAATAAGGGTGATTATTAATAATATGATTATTAATACACATTGTCATGCTGATTTAAGCTGAAGTGCTCTGTAATTAATAGCCCCCGGTTATGTGGCTTTTTAAGAAGGTCTTTTAGTGGGTACTGTGTAATCTAACTACTTGAATTATCTCTGCATTGGTCCTTTAATGTGTTTTTTTAGACATGATTAATATTGCAGAGAAGGATGACCACAACATTCAAGTTCATCTGAAGCACCACATCAAAGTTTAATAAATGTCTTGATTTAAACCATCCCCCATTGGTCTGCACACAAGTTTCCTGAACTCTTTGAGACGTCTCTGAACAATTACCCCGGTCCCCAGTCCTGCCTGTAATTTACTGCTTAAAACGATTGAATGCAATGAAACTGATAGCAGCTGGGTCTGTTTTTGCTCTTTAATAAAACTGAAAGCTGCTGCTTTTTGAATAAGAGTCTGTGTATCTCACCTCTTCCATCTCCTGTTTCTATTTTTGCAGGAGACCCTGCATCAGCTGATTATGATGTCTCCTCCCAATGTGCTGCTTCTGGGCAGGAATCCGCACTGTGGTACGTCAGCTATTGAATAACAGATTCTGAGAAAGTGCTGAATAGTTCCAGAGGCTCGAATCTAATGACACACACACACAAAAAATACATCAGGAACTCTTACAGAAATCATAATGCTGCTGTGTGTGATTTTAAAGGGATACTTCAGGATTTAGCATTAAGCTTTGTATTAGTAGAATACCTGTAGTATTTTCAAATTGCCATGCTTTCCACCCTCATATCCCCCTGAGACGAGAGATGGATGTATTTTTTGTCTGGAAAAAAATCCTCTGATGACGCAAAAATTGTCATTTTGCGTCATCGGAGGATTTTTTGGCCAGAGGCTACAGTCAGTAGTCGGGTCTGTCCCGCATGTTCTCAACCCGCCCATAGAGGGCGATCTCACTCACAGAATGAACACATAGTGTCAGCCATCTTTTTTTGTAACTTGGAAGCTAAGCTAGCAGGCTCTTGTTCTGTGGAGAAAGCTGAGTAGTAGGGGTAACCATCCTCTCTTTCCTGGACATGTCTGGTTGTCGATGTCCGGGATTCAGCTTTTGCTTTCCATTCATTGTTTACGTGAACGCCTTTTGTTTCAATCTAACTGAATTCATTCCGATTGGTGAATCTGAATGTAGTGTTTACAAACAAGTGATCGGTTGATGTGCGTTTTAACAATACTAAGAAAATTCCCGCTCCTCCGTGAGAGATACGAGACCGGTGGGTCTCACAGGTGTCGCTCATCGGTAATCACGCCACCGGCCTCACGCCATTCTCCCGCGGCCCTCACTCGTCCTGCTCGCCAGAGTAAACTGTTCAAGGGGTCTTTACCGCCTTGCCCGCCGCCTGCGCATCCTGCTCCGTCCTGGCCGCACGAAAGGTCCTCTTTGCTGTGGCCGCCCGAAGGGTCCTCTCCGCCCTGGCTGCCCGAAGGGTCCTCTCCGCCGTGGCCGCCTGAAGGTTCCTCTCCGTCCTGGCTGCCCGAAGGGTCCTCTCCGCCGTGGCCGCCTGAAGGTTCCTCTCCGTCCTGGCTGCCCGAAGGGTCCTCTTTGCCTTGGCCGCCCGAAGGTTCCTCTCCGTCCTGGCCCCCTGAAGGGTCCTCTTTGCCTTGGCCGCCCGAAGGTTCCTCTCTGTCCTGGCCGCCCGAAGTGTCCTCTTTGCCTTGGCCGCCCGAAGGTTCCTCTCTGTCCTGGCCGCCCGAAGGGTCCTCTTTGCCTTGGCCGCCCGAAGGTTCCTCTCCGTCCTGGCCCCCTGAAGGGTCCTCTTTGCCTTGGCTGCCCGAAGGTTCCTCTCTGTCCTGGCCCCCCGAAGGGTCCTCTTTGCCTTGGCCGCCCGAAGGTTCCTCTCCGTCCTGGCCGCCCGAAGTGTCCTCTTTGCCTTGGCCGCCCGAAGGTTCCTCTCCGTCCTGGCCGCCCGAAGTGTCCTCTTTGCCTTGGCCGCCCGAAGGTTCCTCTCCGTCCTGGCCGCCCAGAGTGTCCTCTTTGCCTTGGCCGCCCGAAGGGACCTCTCCGCCGTGGCCGCCCGTAGGGTCTGCTCCATCCTAGTCGTCCGCTCCGCCCTGGCCTTCCATCCTGCCGCAGTCTCCAGGCCCTCTTACGCTCCATGGGCCTGGCCCTCCATCCCGCCCCCGGGTCCACCACCGCTCCACCTCCCTCCTGGACTGTTTTCATGTGGAGCATCTAGAATCCGCTCCTTAAGTGGGGGATGTGTCACGATTCCCGTCTTGTGTTTTCCTTGTCTTGTGTGGACTTTAGTTGTTTCCTGTTCTGTGCGAGGTTTTGTAGTCCTTTGTAGTTTTTCTTGTTGATGAGTCTCTCCAGGTGTTTCTAAGTAGCCCCGCCCCCTTGTTATCTTGTTTAGCTTGTTTGTCTGTGTACTTAAACCTCTGTGCTTCAGTTGTTGGTTGCCAGTCGTTGTTGCCTATAGCTGAGTTCCTTGTTCTGAGTTCCTGTTCTGAGTTTCTTTGTTTACCCTGGATTACCTTTTGAGTTCCTGTTCCGAGTTTCTTTGTTTACCCTGGATTACCTTTTTGTTTGATTATTATTATTAAAATAGAGATTGCATTTAGATTTGCTCTACGCTTCATTCCTGACCCAACGCTATAAAATTGATCAAAAGTGACATTTAAAAAACATTTACAATGCTACAAAAGATTTCTATTTCAAATAAATGCTGTTCTTTTGAACGTTCTATTCATCGAAGAGTTTCCACAAAAATGTTTTCAACATTGATAATAATAATAAGAAGAAATGTTACTAGAGCAGATTTCTGATTTCTGAAGGATCATGTGACACTGAAGCATTTGCATTCTATTGTAAAGCATTTCATTGTTTTGAATGAAACCTTCTTTTCAGAGGAAGGCCTAGAAGAGATCAAGAAGTTGCTGTTGCTGTTGCTTGGCTGTGCTGTGCAGGTAATATGTAACTGTGTGCAATAAATAGATTATATTAAACCAAGCACTTGACTATTCAGTTACCCTTTTATTGCACAAACAGGCTATCAGATTTGTCAGACTAGTCATTTTAATCAAAATGAAGTTCTAGTTAAGCACTATGGAGACTGCTAAAACTGTCTGTTGCTGTTTTACAGTGCGAAAGAAAAGAGGAGTATATCGAGAAGATACAATGCCTTGATTTTGACACAAAAGCAGCAATCGCAGCTCATATCCAAGAGGTACTGGTAGATACTACAAGACACACTATTGCTTGGCAAATATGGCACATGTGGATGATTATCTGTATAGTAATCTAGTTATTATATTCGATTGGACTTCTCAGGGGAAATTAATTTAACTAATCTCTGCTTGAAAGAAGTCACTTACTGTACAGGCACAATGTGTCTTAAAATCTTGATATCTAATATCATATTGTGAATGACATGCAACTTCTATTATATATTATGCACCTTCTTTCCAGGATGCGTTCTGAATTTAGCAGTAGATAAATGTTACAAAATGTTATGAAGCTCTACAAAATGACTTGAGACATTTTTTTATTGTTTGCACTCCAGATGACTCATTGTCAGGAGAATGTGTTTGATCTGCATTGGTTGGAGATGGAGGATGTGTGTCCGGAGGAATGGGAAAATCTCTGCAGAAGTATGAACATTAATCTCAAAATGTTAGTGGACCAGCGAGACCGGCAATTTGAGGTATCGTCAAAAGTCATTTAGAAGTTAGCAAATTCTTTCCCCTCCCCACCTTTCTGAGAGATAATCATTCAGTTTAAAGACGTTTATTGTGATTGGCTGCAGTATGAAAGAAAATAACTTGTAGCCAGTTGCTTAAAACAATAACCAGTCAATGCATGTGACTTTAAAGGAGTAGTTCACTTTTTAAAAAAAAAAAAGCTTTTGCTGATTATTTACTCACCCCCATGTCATCCAAGATGTCCATGTCTTTCTTTCTTCAGTCGAAAAGAAATTAAGGTTTTTGATGAAAACATTCCAGGATTTTTCTCTATATAATGGACTTCATTGGGAACCAAACGGCTCAAGGTCCAAATGAGAGTTTCCGTGCAGCTTCAAAGGGCTTTAAACGAAAGCAGACGATGAATAAGGGTCTTATCTAGCGAAACGATGACTCATTTCAGAAATAAATTAAAAACTTAAAGTTTTATTGGCACAAATGCTCAACTTGCTCTGTCCTGTGATGCGCGTTCGTGACTCACCTGTTCAAACTCGTTCATCAACATGAACGAATTGGTTTATTCAACGAAAGAAATGAATGAAATGACTCGAAAAAAGATTCGTTCATTTTGATGAACGAGTTTGAACAGGAGAGCTGCACTGAAACTCTCATTTGGACCTTGAACCGTTTGGTGCCCAATGAAGTCCATTATATGGAGAAAAATCCTGGAATGCTTTCATCAAAAACCTTAATTTCTTTTCGACTGAAGAAATAAAGACATGGACATCTTGGATGACATGGGGGTGAGTAAATTATCAGCAAATGTTTTTTTTTTTTAAAAAAAAGTGAACTACTCCCGTTGGAGCAGTTTAGTTTCTTAACTAGTTCATTCTCTCGTTCAACCCTTCTCATTTTTTTCTGTGTATGCTGGTAGGTCATCGTGGAGCTGATGCAGGGGAAAGAGACGATGAAGCCTATAGTGTTTGGTGATGACTCTTCCCTCACAGAGTCCGCTAGCAGCCACCTCCCTTTATCCCAGCAGCATCTGTCACTAGAGCTGACGGACGCTAAAACCAAGATCAAACGCCTCAGACAGGAGCTGTGAGCATATGCACACACACACATGCACAAACATGATGAGTGAAACAAACTCAGAGTAACTTGTATGTTTATGGGGGTGTGTGATCATAGCTGTGACTTCCGGTTTCAATGGGAAACAAATGAACACATTAAAGAACAAGTGCACATATCAAGTCATTAGCTTGGGTCTTAGTGATAGACAATATATTGGCAGTCATATCTGCATTGGTCAACATTTTTTTTTTTTGTATAATTCTTTTAAAAATGTATTATTATTTTTTTTTCTCTTTTTTTTCAAAAATATATATTTTAACATTTTCACTTAATATTGAAATATTATAATATTAGTTTTCTCTGTCCAAAATAGTATTACTTGTATTTATATAATTCATATATTTGTGTGTAATTATGCTTCATTTGCACTATCCCAAAGTTCCAATATAAGGTAATCTTGTATTGATTCACTCATGCGATAGTAAAGGTCCACTAATTAATTTGTAGCAACTGGTTCTGTGGTTATTGTAAGATGTCTGTAGGAAGCTTGCCTCAGATTAAAAATATCCTGGCACAGTGCATGGTCCGTCCTTATTCTGCTGACCCACTTTTATCCTCTTAGTGTAATGCTACAGACAGTCAACCCCCTCCTCATTTCCACCCATCCGTCCTTCTATCCATCAATTTTTTTCCATCCACCCTCAAACTCGCTGTACAATACTGCTGCGTTCTTAAGCTTCTATTTTGGAGGATATCCCGGAGCAGCACTTAAGTGTTAATGTACAGCATGGCTTTCTCAGAGTTGTAAAGTGAAAATGTGACGTTTCATTCACCATACTAATGAAAAATTTGGACACACTGTAATTATGTAATTATGATCGACTGTTTTAATTATATAATCATTTTTAGGTGATTATACTACATTTTTAGTGTGACATTACAAATATTATATGATGTTTATTTTACAAATTTCGTGTGGAAAATATTCAGATAATCTGACTTCCCACAGTTTTTTTTAGCATCCCCCCACCAACACGACTTGTCACACTCAACTATTCGTATCCCAGCAGGGAATGGACTGCAGTATTGACTTCTGATACAATTTTGACACACTAATCTAAAAACGGAGCATAATGATGTTAAAATAGGCTAACTGATTTTTGTTGGCTAATAAAAGCATATCAAACCTAAAAAGTGAGATGGGGCTGGGCAACGATTAATCGCGATTAATCGTATTCCAAAATAAAAGTTTGTGTTTACATAATACATGCGTGTGTGGTGTGTATAATTATTTTGTATATATAAATACACACACATGCATGTATATATTTAAGAAATATTTGCATGTATCTACTGTATATATACATATATATTTATACATAATTTATATTATTCATAAATATAAATATTTTATATATTAATAACACATTTTTTTTAAATTAAATACATGCATGTGTGTGAATTTTATTTACAAAATAATTATACACAGCACACACATATATTATGTAAACACAAACTTTTATTTTGGATGCGATTAATCGCGATTAATCGTTGCACAGCCCTAATGAAAGGAGTAGGAAAATGCACAAGAGAGTGAAAAATTATTTATTAATGAACCAATTTTCACAAGGGCTATATTTTATTCAGAAAATGCATTTATTTTCAATATCACATTGTGCTTTTTTTAATGTCAGTTTCTGTTGTTGGATTTCTTAAAGTAGCAGGTTCTGTGTATACCCATATTGACATAAAAGCATCACACAGATGCTATAGATTTGTCGGCTGCACATCCATGATGCGAATCTCCCGTTCCGGCACATCCCAAAGCTGATCTGGAGTATAGTGAACTCACTATTATGTTTAAGAAACCAGTTTGAGATGATTTGAGCTTTTGAGTCATAGCACGTTACGAATTGTAGCCTCGGTTTCTGTTCTTAGCTGACAGGAGTGTGTGTCTTCCGTTGCATTATTCGTCTGCTTCAAGGTTCAACGTGTTGAGCTTTCAGAGGTGCTCTTCTGCAGACCTCGGTTGTAACAGTTATTTTTACTGTTGCCTTTTTATCAGCTTGAACCAGTCTGGCCATTCTCTGACATCAACAAGACATTTTCTCCCACAGAACTGCCGCTCACTGGATATTTTCTCTTTTTTGGACCATTCTCTGTAAGCCCTAGAGATGGTTGTGCCTGAAAATCCCAGTAGATCAGCAGTTTCTGAAATACTCAGACCAGCCCGTCTGGTACCAACAACCATGGCATTAACCAGCAGTTTGTTGGCTGGTGTGTACTTGTAGTAGATGTGCATTTGTGTACACACTTGCATGTGGTTATATTTGCATGATGCTTATGTGCACACATATTTGGGTGTGTGGTTGTGGGCATCCTTGTTCTTCTCTGATTAAGTAATTGCATGTTAATCAATATTCTTAACCTGTACGAGTGTCGAATCTTTAAATCTCTCAAACATCTGTTTCCTGTGTCCACACAGAGAGGAGAAAAGTGAACAGCTCTTAGACTCCAGGCAGGACTTGGACAGTTTGGAGGCGGAGATTAAAAGACTCCAGCAAGAGGTACTGAAAATAAAATGATCTCAGACTCCTATTAAGAACTATTGCTAACACTTTTTTTAGGGTTCAATTCTCGCTATTAACTAGTTGCTTATTAGCATGCATGTTACTAGGATATTGGCTGTTTAGCACATATTAATGCCTTAATCTACTTCCTTTAGTCCAACCCATTACCTAAACTTAAAGACAACCTTACTAACTATTAATAAGCATTAAATTAGGAGTTTTTTTAGGTAAAATTGTAATTAATAGTGAATGTGTTCCCCATACTAAAGTGTTACTGAACTTTCATAGCCATTTACATATTCATTTATGGCTGTCAAACGATTAATCGCGATTAATCACATCCTGCGATTTAATTACGATTAATCGCATCCTGCGAATTAATCGCGATTAATCGCATGCTGTTTATTAGTACTTATAAAGCACATATTAATGCCTTAATCTACTTCCTTTAGTCCAACCTATTACCTAAACATAAAGACAACCTTACTAACTATTAATAAGCATTAAATTAGGAGTTTTTTGAGGTAAAATCGTAATTAATAGTGAATGTGTTCCCCATACTAAAGTGTTACTGAACTTTCATAGCCATTTTTATTTTGCTACATATTTATTTATGGCTGTCAAACGATTAATCACGATTAATCACATCCAAAATAAAAGTTTGAGTTTACATAATATATGTGGGTGCACTGTGTTTAATTATTTTATATATATAAATACACACACATGGTTGTATATATTTAAGAAATATTTTCATCTGCATATAGATTTATATATAATTTATATTAAATATAAATATAAACATTTTATATATAAATAATATTTTTTTCTATATATATACAAAATAATTATACACAGTGCACCCACATATATTATGTAAACACAAACTTTTATTTTGGATGCGATTAATCGCGATTAATCGTTTGACAGACCTACTTATTACATATGATCATTGTTTTATGTTATAGACATGACAACTTCTGAATAACACCATCTCTTCCTAGTAGTAGATAGAAGTAATAGTAGTAGTAGTATTTTATTTTCATTCCAACACATTATACATGTGGTACGTGGTATAAGTAAGCAAACTGTAATTAATAATTCTTGATAATGGAAAGACTTAACTACCCGCTCTAGTACACCAAACTCTTTTATTTCAAAAGGTACAGAAATGTCCAATTTAGTTGTGCTAAGGCTATACTTGTTATATTGCTACAGTCTTTATTTTAATGTCAGTTTTTTCCTCCTTGCTACCTGTATCCTGTCTACTCTTGGCGGTCCGTGGCAGAACATGCAGCTGTTAACAGATGCACGAGCAGCCAGGATGTACCGTGACGAGCTGGACGCGATGAAAGAGAGAGCCATCAGAGCAGACAAACTGGAGAGCGAAGTGGCTCGCTACAGAGATAAACTTCACAACATGAACTTTTACAAAACCAAACTAGAGGTGTGTGTAGAAGAATGTTTTGTAACACTTTATTAAAGGGGTGTACATAAATCATGACATGACACATGTTAGGAATATGAAGGAAGTTTTATGCATGTTTATGACAACTGTCATTAAGTGTCATTCACTCAGTTATTACATTTTTAATGCAGATATGACATTGTTTGAGATGTCTTTGTTATGACATCTTGACATAAACCAATACATCATAACCTGTCAGTTTCTTTGTCATGACAACTTGACATTACTAAGACAACACAACCTGTCATAAACATGACATAGCAGATTAATTATCAAACTTAAGAAACCACCTAGCTTTATTGGTCAACATTACATTAAACTATCAGGTGGTTGGGTTTGACATTGACTCTCATGAAGCCATTATAACTTTTTAATGACAAATTCAATTAGTACCACTGTAGTTGAGGTCACAAAAACTTTTTATGACACAGTTATAATGCCTCATGACAGCTGATTGTCAAAGCCAACCACATGACAGTTTAACTTAATTATATGATGTTATGGTTTATGTCAAGGTGTCATAACAAAGACATCTTAAACAATGTCATATTTGCATTCAAAATGTCATTATTGAGTGAAAGACACTTCATGACAGTTGTCATTAACATACATAAACCCTATTTCATATTCAAGACATATGTCATGTCATGGTTATGAAGGTGTCATGCCAGTCTTATACACACCCCTTCAAGTAAAGTCTTACCGAATGTTTATGTGTGCATACACTACCATTCAGATATTTTTGAAAGAAGACTCTTGTGCTCGCCAAGGCTGCATTTATTTGATCAAAAATACAGTGAAACCTTTAATGTTGTGCAATATTATTATAATTTGAAACATTTTATAACGTCATTTACTCCTGGCAAAGCTGTCTTTGCTCCAGTCTTCAGTGTCATTGATTCAGAAGTCAGATTTGGTGTTCAAAACACATAAATTGAATGAATTTCTTTGTTGAGAGTTTAAAAGAACAGCATTTATTTAATATCCTACTGAAAAAAAAAAAAAAAAAACTGACTCCAGATTTTTGAACAGTGGTGTTTAGGGCTGGGTATTGAGACAAATTTCACAATTCGATTCGATTTCGATTCACAAGCTTGCAATTCGATTCGATTACGATTCGATTCAATATCGATTATTTTGGATATCAGTTACAATAAATGGTCATTTTTCTCAAGGGAATCAAATCTCTTAAATGCTGTAAACTATGGGAGTCTAGTTGTAGCCTATAGACTTCATTAGCCTAATATGAAGGTAATAATGAACTGTTTTGTAGCTATACAAACACTTACATTACACTTTTATTTATATTTATAATAAGGAGATTATATGAAATATAAACATTTAAATGGTGGCTGTCATAAAAACTTGCCAGATTTATTCAAATATGCATTAAATATTCAAGAACATTAAGATTATAATGCATATATAATATGGTGTATATATTTAGCAAAATGCTCCTCTATAGAGTTATTTTTTCTAGCTGACTAACGAGTTGATGTGGGTTTTCTGAGGTAAATATGACGATACATGACATTGATTACAAGCTGTTTTACTGAAGTCTTTCCTCGGTTGAAACGCTGATTGAGCGAATCAATGTGACATGATACGGATTTCGATAAGTTGTACTCTATCTTTAACACACTTTCAGATGCTCATTCATGTTTATTTCGCGCTGTGACTGGTATTAATAAGCCGGAAGAGAGATCAGCGCTGCTGCTCCTCTTGAGCTGCGCCAGAGCGATCTCACGCCACAGCACCAAAACACTATTTATGTTTTTGAATTTCTAAAGAAAATGAACGTAATTTGAAATTTGAGACTTTGTTTCATATCAATAGTAACAAAAGACAATGATTATTGCGATTTTTTTGGATGCGCGCAGCCACAATACAATGTACCATTCATTTAAATGAAACAGGATGACTAATCGAATCTTGAGATTTAAGAATCGACATCGGTTCGTAAAAATGAGAATCGATTAATATCGAGAAATCGATATTTATTACCCAGCCCTAGTGGTGTTATATGCATGAGAAATCTCACTTTGACTTTCTTTTTGGCATCGACAGGAGCTTAAGGAGGATAATCAGGTGTTGATGGAAAGTAAGGCCATGCTGGAGGAACAGCTACAGAGCATCAAAGCACGATCTGACAAACTGCACCATCTGGAGAAACACAACCTCCTGCTAGAGGCAAAACTTCATGACATTGAAGAGGTGAGGAAAAGGAAATGATACCCATTAAAAGCATCTGCTGCGATATTACTTTGTGCCCTTTTCTTTTTTGCCACTCCAAGTTGTTTTCTTACAGTGGCTGTCTTATCTGTTTTAGGAAAGAAATGTGGACAGGAGACGAATAGAGGAGCTGCTGGAAAGGAACATCATATTGGAGCTCTCTCAGAAAAGAAGTATGGAGGAATCACAACGCTTGGGCTGGGAGTTAGAACTGGCCAAGGATCCTCAACAGAATTCAGGAACAGGTTTTTGTATATATCAGCACTGCAATTTAACATGAGGCATATTAAAAATGTCATGCTCGTCGACCAATAAGTCACCATAAGTTAACTTTGCTTTGAAATTAACATCTTGATAGAAACATAGAAGTATTGCAAAAATGATTCCACCACTCATTGATCATTCGACAGGTAATAAATGAACTTAAACTTGAATAAACCTAAAATGTGTTTATGATTTTAGAGCTGAAGTCTTTGGGCCAGGAGGTAACTGAAAATACACGTAGCAGATTGCTGAAACTGGAGAAGGAGAACCAGAGGTTGTTGAAGTCCCTGGAAGAACTTCAAGGAACCAGTCGTCCATTAAATGAGTTCATTTCTAAATCTAAACATATTGAGGAACAGTGGAGGACTAGCAATCATTCCCTTGACACAGAAAATCTGCATGCATCCATGGAAAATAATAACAGCAATCTACATTGTCTTGAAGTAGAGATCCATGAATTGGAGGTGAACAACCAGAGTCTTCAAGTCAATGCAAATCAAAACCAAGGTCAAGTAGATATAGAAAACAAAGGTCTAGTGCATGAGAATGGACATTTGGAGCGAGACAGGAGTTGTCTGGAGAAGGACAATCGGAGATTGCTGCAGCAAGTGAAGATCCAGGAGGCCTCGTTGGATAGTAGCAGTTTGAAGTTGGCGGTTCTAGAGAAGGAGAACCGTACCCTGATTAAAAAGACTACCTATCTCAGTGAGGCCTCTGTCAAGAACAAAGAGCTAGAGATGGAAAACCAGGAGCTGATTCACCAGGCTGGAGTGGACAAGAGGATGCTGGTGACATTAAGAGAGGTTACCACTGCAACGAATGCTTTGTAGATTGTTATGCTTTCTCAATGTTTTCTTATTTGACTATTTTCTGCTCTAAAGGAGCTTCTGGACCAGAGGCTGAAATTGCAACAGAAAGAAACTGATCTTGAGAACTTGACTTATGAGCTGGAGAGGATAAAGTTAGACCAGGAGACACGAATGGGAGATCACGAGGCTGTAGACCAGGGGTATCCAGACATCCACTTATATACTCAATCAAGCCCAAGGTAATACTTTTAAATGTCAGATTCCTTTTTAGACATGTCTAATGGCCAACTTTGTCTTTTTCTCCCTCACTCTCTCAGTCAGTGTAAGCAGTTGGAGTCAGAGCTGGAGTCTTCTCTAATGAAATCCCTGAAGATTAAAAAAGAGAGAATGGCTGCCCTGGAGGCCCGTCTGCAGGAATCGGCCAAGATAAACCAGCAACTACGACAGGATCTTAAAACTGTGAGTCAATGCCAGCCAGGTCCAAGTTTTACTTGCTAGTCATTTTACTAACATGCTTGAATGGGTAACAATATTGGTTCTTCCAATGATGTTAAGAAAACATTTGCTTTTTGTTAACAATGTTTTCTGGTCTTTAATAATGTTCACAAACTTTAGCACAACATTTTAAATGTCACTTCTTCAGGAATATTTGACAGTAACTTCCCCATTATGTTTGCAAAATGGATTGTTCCCTTGTTGTTCGCAGCTAAGAAAAAAAAAGTTTTGAAACATTTACAAACTGGACATTTCAGAGACCGTTTAGGGAACATTCAGAAAAAAATGTTTTCATAACTTAATGGGAACATTAGCAATGCGTTCTTTGAACGTGTTTGTTTGTTGTTAGCTGGGAAAGACCAAAACTGTTTACTACACTGTAAAAAAAAAAATATTTTCATGATTTGTAATCACAACATTTTTTCTTTTGTCAAATCAACTTAAATAATTTGTGTTCATATAACATAATATTTTGAGTTTCTGATGATTAAATCAATCTCCTTCATTGTATTAACTCAATTTTTCCATTTCAGTGAACTTAAAATTTTAAGGCAACCAGGTTACCTCATTTTTTAAGTTAAACCAACAATATTGTTTCACTTATTTTAAAACCAATACAAATAAATATTTTAAAACCAGCTAGAATCTGACCAAATTTGATCTCAAATCAGGCTAAAAACAATTTTTTTTTAAGTTGGTCCAGAATAATGTACAAAACTAGGACATGTTTGCGCCAATAAAGTCATTGGCTCTTTTCGTTTTTATACGAAGCATTACATTGCATTCAACGAATAAATTAGCATTGCAGAACGCCATAGCATGATCGCTAACTGCTAAGTTATGATTCCAAATTAAAAACTGCTGTGTTAAGCTCGTTCATTTTTATATGATTGGCCTGTCTCTAAAGTTGTGGTCGCATTTACCATTGTTCAGCAAATTCTTTGCGGGAGAAAAAGAGTAATTTTAATAGGAATCCATGCGATCAGTAACTCCATATCAAAGTAAAAAAATTCCAGATACACATTAAATATTTCACATCTGGTTCAAGTTGGACATACAGATTGGCTGAACAGAAAGTTGCCTTCTGTGTGTTCATTTCATCATACATCACACTATTGACAAAAGGCGATGGAACTTTTAATGCTCTCGAAATTTTGCCAATTTCGCTAATGTGACCACTGACCATTCCTTAACAAGACTTTCTGTCTCCTTAGAATAAGAACAGTATGATTTGTGATTGATGAACTGTTGCAGGTCAAACAGAACTATGAGGCTTTGCTTCAAAGGGAGGAGGAGGAAAAGGCAGGACAATGCTCTCCACCAGAGAGGCCATGGCACAGAGAGAGTCAGGAGGCCACATGGGCATTGCTGAAGGTCAAAGATCGACTCATTGAGGTGGAGAGAAATGTGAGTCTCATGATGGAGGCAGTGTCCAGACCCACAGTCAACCTGTTTAAATACTTGAGGGAGGATTTTGGTTTTCTTGAAATTATGTTTAAACAACATATTTTAGAATCAAACACACAGCATTGGTGTTGTTAGCATCAAGTTATACTGGGTGAGCTACATGAACTTGACATGTCTTCCCTTGGTTCGTCTTGTACAGAATGCAACATTACAGGCTGAGAAACAGGCATTGCAAACACAACTGGAGACCTTGAAGGCGCAGTCAGATGGGTTGCAGGCACAAATAATTGCATTGCAACAGCAGACGGCTTCCTTGCAGGAGAACAACACAGCACTGCAGACACACAATGCACAGCTGCAGGTAAGTCACCATAATTTAGGGATGTTGCCTTATATGCAATATAGGTATTGTATTGTTATTTATCAAAGAATGCTGAACAAATGGATCACTGTTCCCCAAAAAAAAAAAAATATATATATATATATTAAGCTGCTCAATTGTTTTCAGCACAAATAAGAAATGTAATAATAAAAAAGTAATGGTGCTGAAAATACAGCTTTGCATCACAGGAATAAATTGCATTATAAATTAGAATAAAATAGAAAACAAACGTTTTTTCGAAATAGTTTTTTTTTTATTGTATTTTTGATCAAATAAATGCAGCCAATCCCAACCAGTAGTATGCTATAATAAAATATTAAAGGTTTAAGTGGAGCCCCTTTTAGATCTAATCCGTCATTGGCCTATCTTTGTCCTCCTCAATCTTTCCTAGGTAGAGAAGTCAACTCTATCGTTCCAGAATTCGTCTCTGATGGCTCATAATGAACGGCTTCAGCGGGAACGGCAGAGTTCTGAGGCTGAGAGGGAAGGTGTGGTACGAGAGAGGGAAGATCTGCGCACCGTTAATGAACTTCTTCTCCGGGACCATGAGAGATTGAGCGTCCTGCACGAGAGACAGGGAGCAGAGTTGGAGGTGCTGTCACACAGGTACTCAACAATGGAGAACAGTCACCGAACCCTGGAGATAGAGCACAGATCACTGGAGGACAGGTTAGTACACACACCATAAGATGTCTTAACAGTCCCAGGTTATGAGACTCATTCGAAGTTCTGTTTAACGATAACTTGAATGTGCAAGGCTTCTAGGTACTTTAGACATACAAAAATATTGTCTTGATATTATCGCAACCATGTCACCCTGTTGCCAAAGACTGGTTGCCCACTGAAGCAATAGTTTTACCATTTACTGCACTTTGTTATTCTTCTAGTTATTTACCCAGCTAACAGGAAACGTTCTCAGAACTTTGGCTAATGGCCTGGAAAGATTCTCTCAAAGTTATGAGAAAACATTCATCTAGTAACGTTAATATTTACATTCAATCAAGGTTTTCTGGTCTTTTATATATAACATTCTCAAAAAGTTAGCACAAAAACATTATTTATACATCATTCATGGAAAGGCTTTTTCTTTTCTGAAACGTTTTTGATGGACTTTTGTCATTTTCTTTAAAGAACCAAGAATGTTTAGAAGACATTTAAAAGTAACATTCCCATAATGTTAGTAAAATAATGAAATGAAATGTTCCCTTAACGTTCGCAGCAATAGCCAAGAAAGATTTTTGGTTTGAAAAACCAACCTGGCATTTTGAATGTTCAAAGAAGATTCAGGAATAACTTTACCATAACTTAATGGGAACTTTAGCAAAATGTTCTATGAACATTTTTGTTAACTGTGTACCTACGGTATATCTGCTAATGAATCGGAAGCCTCTCCTACTTCTGTGTTGCAAAATAAGTTGGAAAAGGTGGAAAATATATTTATATTTATACAGTATATGTATCTGTGTATGTACATGTTTAACCCTCTGGGGTACTTCGGGTCAATAATGACCCGAAGCATTTAAATAAAAAAATGTTAAAAATCGTAGCTTCATCGGAATGGTCCGAAACTTGGTGACTTTAATGATACTTGGTATATGAACACCCAAAAAAAGTCCAAGTGATCGTAAAAAAAATAGTCACACTCAGGACCTTCGGGTCAAAAATGACCCGCATAGGAAATGAATGGGAAATTGGCAAATATGTGAAAATACTGAGTTTTTTTTGTGCGTACAATCTACAAATCAGCAACGATCTTGAAAAAAAGCACACAACAGTGACGGGGTGAATCTATAAAACATCAAGAGTGCAAAACAGACACATCCACACACACACACACACACACCTTTATACACAAACACACTAAAAAAATCAGATTATACATGTGTTTTGCATTTTTAAAAAGCTCAGCTTGTCCACGAGATGGCATCCATCTAATTTCAAAAATTGCTTTTATGAGGCTTAGGCTTGACTCCAAAATGAAATACAGCTTTTTTTTAAAAATACAGCTTGTATTTTTGTATGAAATACAAAAACATATTTTTTTTTAAATATTTTTTTCTATTATATTCAATGGGGGAAAATTTGGTCATAATTATTGCATTAATACTAATTATACATTTTTGTATTTTTGAAATTTTCTCAAAACACCAAAAAAGAAAAGAAAAAAATATTACAAAAAAACAAGTAAAAAAAAAATATATATATATATGATTTTCTTTTTTAAATATGAATCCCGCCCTTTGGGTCAATTTTGACCCGAAGTTCCCGAGTGTGACTGTTAAACGAAGAACGCCAGAGGGTTAAATGCTGCTTTAGATGAGCAAGTGCCAGTCTATGACATGTTTACATCTACAGGTATAACACACTACTTCAACAGCGCGCTCAGCTGGAGGGGTTAGAGAGAGCTCTTAGAGAAGAACAGCTGAAGATGCAGAATGAAATATCCACGAACAGGAACACAACAGCAGAGTGCCAAAGACTCAGAGACGAGAAAGACTGGTAAGTGATGTGTGTTTGTTTCCTTGGTGTAAACAATTGCACCACTGACCAGAAAAAAACTGGTCTAAAGACAGTGACACGTTGCGCGTTGTTCATAATGCTATTTTGGCCATAATGTAGCGGGTGCACAACACGCATAGACTTTGATTCTCTCATCAACACAGATGCAGTTTTTATTGTTGAAAATCATACATTACAACAAGGATACATATTAACACATGAGTAAAATCATTGTGGTGTCCATGAAGATGTAAAATGTAGGCCTAAATCTAGCTTACACATTTACCCAAATTTGTCAGGCTAATTGTAGTAATGACAGATCAGACCTGTTTGCCCAATAGTGGCTCTTAAAGAGTACGTTGGATGACGCTCTGATTCGTTTATTTCACGTTGCGCCCAAACCACACCTATGAATAATGAAGCTATTTCAGACCAACCCCTTTTAAACATGTGTCGGGCGCAAGAGTCATTTATCCCGCCGGTAAAATAGCAACAGCTTCCAAGACCCGCCCACATAGTTGCTTACGCTTTGCGCTTGATACTTGCGTTTCAGATCGTTTAAATATGGCCCTAAATGTAAAGGGGCTCACTTTGTGTCTTAATGCAAACATTATCACTGCATTCGAAATTGAATACTTCCCTACTATATAATATTCAAAAAACAGTACGCCAATGGCAGTATGTTTGTAGTAGTATGTCCGAAAATGGGGTGGTGATGGCACAGTGGATAAGACACATGCCTTTGGTGTGAGATACCCGGGTTCAGAGACACCAATATGTCCCTGAGCGAGACACTAGTTGCTCCAGAGGGGTGCGACCTCTGACATATATAGCAATTGTAAGTCATTTTGGATAAAAGCGTCAGCTAAATGAATAAATCTAAATGAAAACATAGTATTCATAGGCTACGGGAGAGGATTTAAGAATGCAAGTGAAGTGACGCAACTGTTGCTGGAAAATCACGTGATAATGACAATATGGCGAGTGTAGTATGTAGAATATATAAAACGTACGAAAGTTCAAATTAAAATGTAGATTACGTGAATGTAATTTGTAACCAGGAACATTGTAGCACATGATAACCAAGGGGTGTGTCTCAATCGGCATCTCTAGTTCCGCTGTAGTTCATAAATACCAGTAGTGATGTTGTACATCAAGGATGTTGTGATGTCGTTGTAAATAGAGCCATCATTTCCCCCAATGTTTAGGGAGACAGGATCCTCACCAGTGCCTAAATTCATGTATGCATAGGTAGCTAGGGAGCAGATTGAGACGCACCCGAGCTAAACACAATGGTGACATGGCTTGAAAGCTCCTCCAGTCCTGGCCGTGTAGAGATAAATAAAGATGTCTTCTATCAACATTGTGCTTTGCCCAGGATGAATCAGACTTACCAGAAGCTGTTGGCAGAGAATGAGGAACTTCAGGTCGAACATAAGAGCATGAAGAGCCAGTTGAACTCCAGCAAACTGGAACAGACACAGCTGGAGTCAGAGCTGTCCAAACTCAAAGAGCAGAACCAGCAGCTGGAGATCGCCACTATAAAACTGACCAACCAGTGTGAGGTATACATCAGACATTAGGCATCGCCATACATGCAGAGCAAAATGATTTTAGACCATTTTACTCCAATCTGTTACATACCTGCAGAACATATTGTCCAGGCTGGTTTATGCTGGTTCGTGCCATCATCCTAACTTTGTTGCTTCTTAAACAAAGCTAATGATTAAGTCATTTAAGTCCTTGCTGAATGACCTCTCTTTGCACATTTGTTCAGTTGCTGACCCAACTGAAGGGGAACTTGGAGGAAGAGAACCGCCACTTGCTGGACCAGATCCAGAGCCTGATGCTGCAGAACCGGACCCTGCTAGATCAGACTATGGAGAACAAGGACCTGTTCCATGTGGAACAGAGACAATATATGTGAGAAGCATTTATTTGGATGAAGTGTTTATGTATGCAGCATAGATATCAGGTTAAAGACAGGGTCCCACTTTACAGTATATTAAGTGGCTTTAAGTACTATATACTTACATTGAAATTAACGTAAAGCCACTTAATATAAAGTGGGACCAAAGACAGTTTATTTATAATCTGGCAAATCTGCAAAGCAGTGATTATCAAATGACCAAGGTTATTTATGTTCAGGATAACCCGATTAAAAAAAAACCTTTTAATGGGAAAACAAAACAACTCTCATATCTTTTGTTGTAGACATCAAGGTCTGTGGCATTTTAGCACAAATTAATCTGTCGCCTGGTTGAAGCCAATCAAATTACGTAGATGCCGATATGGGGAGGTTGTTCGCCTTTCCCTCATCTTTGAAAACCATAAACAAAACTATGCAAGGTCAAAAAATACAACCTAGACGACAATAAATATGGGTTTACTTGCAGATAAACATGGTTCCTCCTGCCCACTATAAGTGAATTAACTATTAGAGCATGAACCAACGAACTTCGAGTCATTTAGCAACTGGTATTGTATTCAGCATATGCCATGTTGATGGTTCATGGTTTGATATTAATACATTTCAGTGTTTTAAGGACATTTTAATTATTCTTCTACAATAAATAACAAAATTAAATGTAAAATCTGAGAATTTAAGAAAAACCCAACCCTCACTTTAAGAGCAGTGATACTCAACCTGGGGACAATATGACTTAAAATAAGCTAAAACAACTAAAAATTATAAGATATTTCTTATTTTAATGTATCCCTCAACAGCTGTTTTTTTATATTTAAAGAGCGAGGACTCCCACCAGGGTTATCGTTAACAAAACTAAACCTGTAAAAAATAATGTTGGCATAGAAACTATATAGACATATTCTTTAGATATATATATAAAAAAAACTAAGTACTAATATTAAAACTAATACAAAATATGAAGGAAAAATTATAATTGTATCTATAAAATTATAATAGTAATTCTAAATTAACACAAATTCACACATTCCTGGAAAACGTGATTTCCAGATTTTGGATAGTCATGTAAATTAAATTAATACATTTTTAAAAGCATTTTTTTTTTCTTCTAGTTATGCCAAGCTCTAACACATGTTATTGGGTAGAATAAAATAATATTAGATTTTTATTAAGTAGAACAAAAAATCCAGTGAATCACAAACAACTTAAAAATACACAGGGTCATGACTATTGTTGTGAATATGTATAATTGGGTGTCAAAAGTGATTTCCACTGTATAGATGTTTATGGCATGTAAGCGCTATAATAACTGCACTGTTGTTTTGACAGAGACAAACTGAATGAACTCAGAAGGCAGAAGGAAAAGCTGGAGGAGAAAATCATGGATCAGTACAAGTTCTATGACCCATCGCCTCCTCGCAGGTACCGTCCCATTATGTGATGTGTGTGTGTGTCAAGATTGTTTTTATTTATCATATTTTCTGTCCTTCCTCAAATGGTTACTCAATGAAGACGGGGCAACTGGATAACGCTGAAGATGAGGAAGTTGATGAAGACTAGGGCTCGTGATCAGGAGCACGTTTGTTCTCCAACTCCCCAGCTCCGCTCCGAGTCATGCGAGGGTCTGGATGACCTGCGCTGCCATGACAACGGCTCCTTCGTGGGTTCCCAGGGCTCGGAGGAATCTGCTCCCAACTCCCTTAATGGTGACACCCTGTCCCCCAAGAGAAGCAGCAGTGAGTATCACCTCAGTTACACAAAACTGTGAGAGTCCAAGGCCAGGAACATCCAGAAACAAGCCATTTAATCAAGCGCAAACCCTTCAGCCCAACATCCCAAGGTCAGGAGAGTGAGAACAGGATAGCATCAAGCAGCCAAGCAAGGGGTAGTAACTCACCCCACAAATCACTTCTGCTGTTTAGAAAACTCCCCAACTTCTAAATCCAAAACCCTTGGTCCCAGAGAACACTTTGAGAGGAGTTACTCTAATTAAACATTTATGCAGTTATTTGATGTATGGTTCCTGATTCATTTCACGTCTTTGGTCCTCCATTCTTTTCCACAATGTTCAACACAAATATTTCGGTAACACTTTACAATAAGGTCTAATTAATTAACATTAGCTAATGCAAATGCTAATATAAACTCACACTGATATATATATATATATATATATATATATATATATATTAGGGCTGTGCAAAAGTTAATTGCAATTAATCGCATCCAAAATAAAAGTCTGTTTACGTATATAATTATTTTGTAGATTTAAATACCTATGCATGCATGTATATATTTAAGAATTATTTGTGCTTAAATTCTGTATATATTTATAAATACATAATCTATATTTTATAAATATAAATATTTTATATATGAATAACACATTTTCTTAAATATATACTGTACATGCATGTGTGTGTATTTATATATACAAAATAATTATATACAGCACACACAAATATATTATGTAAACAGACTTTTATTTTGGATGCGATTAATCACAATTAATTTTTGGATATATATATATATATATATTAGGGGTGTAACAATATATCGCAATACAAAAATCTTTTTATCATTTTAATCAACAGTACATTTTTTGTTAACCTTTTATCATATGACTTGAAGTATCGCAATAATATCGTATCATGAGTTCAGTATCGGGATATGTATCGAATTGTGGCATGAGGGTATTTACATCCCTAACACACACACACATATGATAGATACAGATAGACAGATAGACAGATAGATAGATAGATAGATAGATAGATAGATAGATAGATAGATAGATAGATAGATAGATAGATAGATAGATAGATAGATAGATAGATAGATATACACTGTATATATGCGACTGTGGTTGTTTTGTGATTTTTCATGTTCTTTCTTACAAAAGAATTTCCTTCTTATGAAAACGGTCACAAACATTTGTATTGTCATGTATTCCTCCCTCATTTTCTGTCTTCATGTTTTCCATTGTGATGACCAAGTCTGCGCCCTGAAAAAGTTTCATGTTAAGCGTAACAAACCAAAGGATAAAGACAAAGTCAAGTCTCTCTTCCGCCGAGCTCTGTGTAAGACCTCACATCCTGTCTTTCCTGTAATGGTTGTGCTTTCTCTGTCATTGCTTTTTATTTTTTTATACATGATGCTTTAATGATCTTTGCATCAACCATAATAGCTTACCTATGAACAAGTAAATCAAAGCCTTTTATTCTTCAGAGAACGAGAAAAGGGTAATGCAAGATAAATGCTTTAACTCATTTAAGACAAAGGCTGCCTCAACGTCATCTCATGTCATCTTCATTTTCATCTCTTCTCATGTTTCATCTCAGCAATGAATGACCTGCTGCAGTCACAGAGATGTTTGGATGGGGACTCCGGGCAGCAGGAAGAGCAGCACACCATTGCCATTTCAAAAAAACACTCCTCATCATCATCATCATCATTTCAACCCTACTCTTCCATAGACAATCATACAACAATACATAATCAAGCTTGTAAGTCAAAACTGTACATAAGACAGATATTTGCAATTCATCTGGCATTAATGGTGTTTGTGACAAGCATCACAATCACTATTGCGATTGCTCGTACTTGTGAGTGATCCAAACAAATTCGACCCTACCCCTAAAAGTATTTTGGTGCATAACTAATCCCACAAGTGGTGAGGTCAGGTGATTATTTTAGCCAGTAAGTAGCCACATAACCCCTTAACAACAGGGTAAGTTACTCTAAAAAAGTATTTAATTACTAGCTACTAATTACATCTTCGACAGTGTAATTGGATTACTTATTACTTTCTGAATCCCATATCAACCTAGTCCAGTTGAACAATTCAGGGATAATGATGATATTACTTTATTCAGGACTCAAAATGAAAGGTCCATAGTACAAAAACATAGAAATTAACTTTCATTTGCAATATACAAACAGGAGCGCCAATGGATAGACATTAAGACTGCTCCTTTAAATCTTTCAAATACATCATATAAAGTGCATACATTATTCTTGAACTGACCAAAGTATTTAAAGGGAGAAGGTTACATTAAACGCATGCATTTTATCATCAGACGACGTTACATTTTAATGTTAAAGACGCGGATAGCTCAAAATGCGTATAGATAACACGCCACTTTACACAAAAGTCATGATGACATGTTGACACATTGGTAACCCAGAACATCATAGCAACTGCATAGCAACATGCTAAAAATAAACACTAAAGATCAATACCATGACAATCACCAAAACAACCATGGAACATTATAAAGTCCAATAACACATTAGCACCATTTCACTGCTTTGGTGCTTCAATGCTTTGCAAGATAAGTCATAAAGCGTCATTATTCAGTCTGGATAGATGAGTAACTGGAATACAGTGCATGATTCTTGAGTATCTGAGACCCTGTTTAAACCAGGAATTAAAGGGATACTCCACTTTTTTTTTTTTTTTTTTTTTTTGGAAATAGGCTCATTTTACCACTCCCCCAGAGTTAAACAGTTGGGTTTTACCAATTCGAATGTATTCAGACAATTTTTTGATATTTAGAAGAATATCAGTAACCAGACAGTTTCTGGTCTCATTGACTTCCATAGTATATTTTTTTCCTACTATGGAAGTCAATGAGACCAGAAACTGTCTGGTTACTGATATTCTTCTAAATATCAGAAAATTGTCTGAATACGTTCGAAAACGGTAAAACCCAACTGTTTACCTCTGGGGGAGTGGTAAAATGAGCCTATTTCCAAAAAAAAGTGGGGTATCCCTTTAAGATGCATTTTGGTTGATCGGATCACTAGCGGACTAGGGAGACATTCCCGTTTACACCTGGTGTTTTAATTCATCTCTTTTGTCCACTTTCAACCACTTCTGTCCTGATTTCTTCAAAGGGAAGAGTTTATGGGTGGATAAATGTATGAATTTGTTTCAGATCTTTCAATCAAATGGACGAAATAAGCAATTCACAAATGAACGTGCCCAGAGACGATGGAAAAACACAAGCAAGATCAGCCGAACTCTGTGAGTGTGTGTTAGAAATCAGGAATGGTGAGAGAACATTGTGCTTGGTATGTTTTTCATCTTCAAACCAAACTTGGGTCTCCAGCCAAAGTTTAAATCCCATCTGTCTAGAGTGCTTCCCATACGGTTTAGGTCAGAGACGGAGAGTAGGCGGTCTTCTGTGGCTGTTTGCTCTACGTAAGCAATCCAGTCAAATGTGTTTTCGACTCCCTCTGGAAGTGGTCGAAAGTGGACAAGTTTAAAACATTTTAAACCCGGTTTACACTTGTGTGTAACGTCGTCCACTTGTGATCCAATCGACCAAACCTCATCTTACATCTCACAATGGTGTTTACACATTTGTCCCTTCAGGTAAAGATTTCCAAGAAGACACAATTCCACAAAGTCTTGCAAATGGCACTGAAACCCAAGATCATGGTAAGAATTGATTGGTAGACCAAAACAACTTTCTGAGAGTTTTTATGATCCCGTTGAGCTATAACTTCCTCTAATTGACATGCTCAGCAGGGCTGAATGGCAAATCGAGTCGTGCCCCGAGCGCGAGCAGTGGCGAATTTAGCGTGAGCCTGGAGAACGAGGCCTGGTCCAGTGATAGCAGCACCCTTCCAGATCCATTCCCGTCCAATCGGCAACGAGTCAGTGACTCGCCTTCACCAGCTCGGCCCAACCACGAGGAGCTCAGGCAGGGTTACTGCTCCTCCGGGAGTGCGGTGCGGAGGTCCAGCAGTGGGAGATCCACTGGAGATCGTTCAGCACAGAAGCTGGACAAAGCAAACATTGGACTTTATAAAACTCAGAGCGTGCAAAGTACAGAGTCTGATCCTAAAACTGCTCTCGAGACGCAAGGGAAGTCCTCCTCCGTATCAGGGTGTTTGAACTGCTTTGCCACGCCAATGCGAAGCCCCAAATCAGGCCAGGCTCTTTCCGACCTACCCCGCGCCAGCTGTGTCATCTCCACGTCAGAGGGCAACAGCCGCCGTGCCAGTGTCCTTAGCACTATGTCAGTGGGATCGGCGTCAAGTAAGAACGCTGCTGATCCTCATATGATTCAACCTGACCAAAGTGACGAGGTTTTAAAAGGAAGCCTTGTCTTGGAAGAGGAAGACCTCAAACCAGAGCACCTTTTTGATTCAGAATTCACCATTGATTCAGTCTTTACAAACACAATTTTCAGTGAGTCAAGTACCAGCCCAGGTAACAAAAATATGGTCTAAGAACGTTTTGCCTTGAAAACGTCCTGACTGAATGTTAAAAAAAAAAAAAAAAAACTTTTTATGAACGTTAAGGAAACATTCCATTTTATCAGTTTGAAAACATTATGGGCAAGTGCGGCATTTGCGAATCAAAGAAATAGTCGTGGCTCCCACCCCCAGCTAAGCTAAAACATTGTTTGCAATGCAACCTCAACTACTGTATATCTGTTATATTTACAATGTTAACTCATATTTCTCTCTTAATAGTCTGTTTATAAAGGCATTCTGTCTCTTTAACCTATTGTTACAATCATGACCGAAAACAAAAACAGCATTCAATCTTCTTCCCTTAGTCTCTGTGCTAAACTGAAATGATTTTAAAACCGCCATTAGGTGGCGGCAAACTAGTCAGTCAATTGAATCATTCAGTCAAACGATTCGTTCAAAACGGCTGATTCATTCAGTTACAAAAAAAATCGTTTCTGTGAGATTGCTTATAAATATTAAAAACAAGAACTTATAGAGACTTTTTTGCACCATATCTTGGTTTATGTACATTTATAACACTATACTTTGTATTATATTACCTTTGCATCAAATTACGAGAAACTAATAGCGATGCTGTGAGGGTATTTCTAATACAGCTTTGAGACTGATGGTAAAAATTATCCTTCTCTCTTCTGATCACCGTTATTAACCCCCCCCCCCCCCCCTTTTTTTTTTTTTTTTTTTTTTTTTCCTTGTTTTGAAGGTTGTGAAAACACTATAATGGAGTTTTTCTTTTGCTATTTGAGCAAATAGAACACACACAACAAATATGTGTAATAGTCTCATTCACCGCTATAGAAGTTTAGGCTACCCGGAAATGTGACAATCAAAACAATCTTTTTCTTTGGACAATCCTACAACTCTTGGTTTGGTTGACACTTATAGGCCTATTTATTTTTTTCCTTCCTTATTTTGTCTCTCTTTATTTATTTCTTTTTTTAAATGTATTTTGTATTGTTTGCATTTCATGTGGTGAATTATTCTGTTCACTTTTTTCAAATTACAAATTTCATGAAAGTAAAATAATAATAAAAAAAGAAATACAAGAGTCCATCTGCATGTAGCATCAAAACTGCTGTGGCTCATTTGTTCTGACTAGGCCTATTGTATACAGTCATTTTTCCTATCCTGCAGAATTGTGTCTGTGTTTTGTTGTTTATTTTTAGCATCAATGAACCTAGTATTTGTTCAAACCAGTAAATATCTAAAGAGTAGGCTACCTATCTTGCTTTTTATCTAATTTTTATCGTGTTTTCCTTCTAAATTATTGCTCATATTGTGGTGCTTTGTGCTCATGTTTCCTGCATTTGTTTGCAGAAGTGATTTAAAACATAGCTACAAAGATTGTATGATTGTTGATTAAATAAAAACAACTTTACTGTAAGAATGTGGTTTTGGGCGTTTGGTGGTTCAGAAATCCTCATTTAAATGTCAGTATTGGACACATTTTGATTGTATTTGAAGGATAGAAATCCACCGAGCAGAAACAAACAAAACAATCTCGTAAGATTGTGATTGGTTCGTCCGGAGCAGTGCTGAGAAAAGTAACAACTAATTCGAGATTCAAGAAGAATTTTTGACATGGTTGAAGGTTTTGCATTAAAACATTGGTAACATTAAATTAGATAGGCTACATATTTTTTTTTTAATAAAATTAAAAGGAAAACGCCAAACAAAAGTACGCTATAGCCTACAATGGTTTCAGAATCAGAATGAAGCGTCCAGTACACAGAAAAAAGTTTATAAATAAATATAAAACGCATATAAATAGTCTATGTAGCCTACACGTGTATTATAGACAAGATATGAAATATTAAAATGTTTATAAAACGATGTGTTAAAAATATACCGTGTTGGGATTTACACATGTTTTATTAAAAATGTTTCTGAGCATTTTGTGCATGTTGACAGTAAATTTTACGCTTATTCTAGTTCTATATGACTGTTTTTGGAGCTCCATGGACTGTTGAATTTGTCGCCACTGCGTGTTTGTGTGTGTAGACTGCAGTCTGCGCAATACATTGTGGGATACACTGTCATGGCGGCGCCCATGCAGCAGAAATGACATCTGACTTAAGATATTATTTGCTTAAAATTATCATCTTCTCGTCTCTGCTTTCATGTCTGTATACTGAATGAATTCACGGGTAAGTGTATTTTCTCTTGTTTAGTAAATTCTTTTTTTACGTAAGTTTCTCACATGCATTAAAATAATCTGGTAATTTGCCTTGAGCTACTGTTATAATGTCAGCATTCACGTTATAACGTTAGATATATGAACGATACAACAAGTACCTTGGTATGACCATGTTTTTATGATGAAGATGGTGATGGTGATGACATCTTTTCAACATATTTGCCATATACCATGGTAATATGGTGTTCGAGTATCATGTAAATACAATGACAAACAAATAGTAATCATTCAGTACCATTGTATTTATCAAACTTCCATGGTATTATAGCATCTATCAACCATTGTATCAAAGTACAAAGTGAGTCATCATCATCTTTAGTATTAGATTAATTTGTTTTATAACATTTGCATGTCATTACAAGTTATTTAACTAATACTACTATTCATGATGCCTCTCATCATTTTAAAAGTGTCTTCTCTTCTAAGATATAGTGCAATTTGTAATTGTAGTCATTGCACTAACCTTGTCCTTGCTATATTTTCATATTCATTGTTCGAATATGAACTGCAAAGCTTTTTTTTTAATTATAATTAGAAAATCTGCAATGAAGCGGATATCAGGCTTGATTGGCAGGACTGCGTGGTCCTGTTGGCATCATGGGAGTCCACGTCTTGCCCCTGCCTGGGTCCCTGAACCCCCGTTGTCCACCTGTCTTCAGGTCCGACACCTGGCTGCAAAACAGGTCAGCCTCAAAATGTTGAACCCTTCACTAATGCTTATCAGAAGGGTCACAGCAGATCACAAGATAACAGCACAAACCAGATTGTTTGGATGCCTTATGTGCATCTAGTGAGCAAAACATGTCACGTTTGTTGTTTTACTGTAGAATAAGGGCCAATTCAAAGGTCAGAAGTTCAAATCGAAACCAGTGACGCTAGAGAAACAACAGAAGCAGGAGGTGGAGATCAAACAGAGGATGACTGTGGCTGAACTCGCCAAGGCCATGAATAAAGACATTGGTGAGTGTTAATCTATATCAAATGAGCTTATGATGGAGTCTCTTAAGCTACATACACTCACCTAAAGGATTATTAGGAACACCCGTTCAATTTCTCATTAATGGTGATCATCACAGAGGTTGTATATGTACTGTTCCCCCTCTTTAGATCACGTCTATGAAGCCCTGCTCAACACAGAAGTCGATCTGGACGAGTTGGAGCCCGACACACTTCTGGAGGAGAAATGGATAAAAGAGGCAGTAAAGAGATCGGGAATGAAGCACAAATGGGCCAAACTGGTTGAAACCAAAGTCAGAGAAAACAAAGATATCCAGAAATCGTGAGGACGATTTTAACAATACAGCTGTCTTGACTTTTGTATCATTTTCTACATGTTTAATTTTCAGAAATTTCTAAAAACCTATTTGAATTGTCAGGCCTCCCCCAGATCCCGCTCAGTTAGTCCCTCGAGCTCCAGTGGTGACCATCATGGGTCATGTAGACCATGGAAAGACCACCCTTCTGGACAGCCTGAGGAAGAGTCAGATCGCTGCTCAGGAGGCGGGAGGAATCACACAACACATCGGAGCCTTCCGGGGTACTGAACTCATCAACATATCAGGGCCATTTATGATTTTCTGATTATTATCAGATACCCAGTGTTGCACAATTGCAATGTTTGTATAAAGCAATTAAATGATAGCTTGTTTTCACTAAAAATAAGTGAAAAAAAAAACGTTTTGGTGGGGGAAGAGTGTAACATTAACTGCCAGAGCTTGCTAAAGTCACACAAAAACAAATGATCTATTTACAAATTAAGCATTTGACTTTGTATTTAGTGATGGGAAACGGCTTAAAGGGATTGGTCACACAAAAGTTCTGTCATTAATTACTCGTTCCAAACCTGCAAGACTTAAAGAGATAGTTCACTTTGAAATTAATTTTTGGTTTGTTTTAGCTTACCTCAAGGGCATCCAAGATGTAGGTGTCTTTGTTTCCGCAGTAGTTTCGATTTTGATATTTTTAGGTCAAACCGTTCGTGTCTATCAGTCATATAATGTATGGTCACCACCTCAAAGAGCATGCACAGAGAAGTCCAAATTAAACATGATTTAATGACTCGTAAATGTAAGTACACATTGATGGGCTAAGACACGAAACGAGCGGTTTGTGTGAGAAAACGAACAGTATTTATATCGTTTTTACCTCTTGTAACCACAGCCACGTCCAATTGATCTGAGGGCACGGACGCTTTGTGGCTGTGGTAACGAGGTAAAACGATATTAAACACTGTCCGTTTTCTCACACAAACCGCTCGTTTCGTGTCTTAGGCCATCAATGTGCACTTACATTTATGAGTCATTAAATCATGTTTAATTTGGACTTCTCTTTGCATGTTCTTTAAGGTGGTGACCATAGACCTCCATTATATGATTGATAGACAAAAACGGTTTGACCTAAAAATATCAAAAAATCTTTTTGATGAAATCTGCAAGCTGTCTGTCTCTTTATTGACAGCTACGCATCTAACACTTTGACTCTTCAAAAAGTCCATAAAGAGATCATGTAAATTTCAAGCAAATCCATATGAATTTTGGTTTTGTCCAAATTTTCTGAAGAGACTTGATCACTTTATATGATAAACAGATTGAATTTAGGCTGAAAAATAAGATTTTGGATTCATAGTGACTTTCAAGGATGTAAAAAATAATGAATCATGAATATTAATGCTTGGGTCTCTGAGGGTTAAACTTAAAGGACGACATACAGATTTCCTTTGAATACAAGCAATACTTTCCCAAGATTACAGTATGTACTTCCTTTCAGCCAAATGCCATGTGTTGTACCACCAAGCAAAGGACCTGTGTTAAAATGAGTCTGTGTCCTGTTCAGTTCAGCTGCCCTCGGGTGAAAAGATCACTTTTCTGGACACACCTGGTCATGCAGCGTTCTCTGCCATGCGGGCACGTGGAGCCATGGTCACTGATATCGTCATCCTAGTGGTGGCAGCCGATGACGGTGTGATGAAACAGACAATTGAGTCCATACAGCATGCAAAAAAAGCCAAAGGTAGTCACAATAAAAATAATTAGGAATTATTGAATTTATATATTAATATATTCATTCATTTATTCATTTTGGACTAGCTATACATTATATATATATATATATATATATATATATATATAATGCATTTTGAGATCCAGTTGTTTTGTTTATTGTGTGTATGAAGATTCAATGTGTGTTTTTATCTGCAGTGCCGATCGTTGTCGCTGTGAATAAATGTGATAAACCTCAGGTTGACCCCCATCGTGTGAAAGAGGAGCTTGCAGGACATGATGTCTTATGTGAGGAGTTTGGTGGGGAAATACAGGCCATCCATGTGTCTGCATTAAAGGTACAGTGGTCGCACTTTATATTTGAACTCCTCTTATGCCACGCTTAAAGAATTCGAAATTAAATTTTTAGGCCGTTTAGTATGAACATGTTAGCCTTACTGTTATCTATAAGCTAGTGGGCTCCCAAACAATGACAAAATACGCATTTATAAACATATAAGCATTCAAAACTTACAGTCTCTCACTTCCGCCAATATGGATCAATGATTTTGATGACATCACTCTGCGCTTCAGCTTCTCATCAGATTTTCTGTCCAATCAAATGCTCTCTAGAATCTAAAGCTCCGCCCCCTACATTACAAATTGATGCGGCGGTCATGTACATAACACATTCAGACGATTCAGACTGTAAATATGTTTTCCATTGGGTAGAAAGAAGTCTGGTTTTACCTTAGTGCCACGTGAACCGCCACAGCATGCACACAGTCTGCTCCGGTCCAGAGACACGACAGCAGAGAGCGGATCATAAGCGCGAGTCGACGCAGACCGGAAAACCTATCGGAGCCATTCTCCTCAGAATGCTGTACTTTAAAGCGATATGGAAGAGATTAGAGGAGAAACGATTAGTGCTTTAGCGGCTCTGAACGAGCTGTGATTTAAACTAAATGCTATTGACTGTTTTTTAAATAAGGGGAGGAGCTATTTAATATTTCCCGCCCTCTCTTCCTGTTTTAGAAATTACAGCACAGTGAATAATGCTCATGTGTTTCAAGGCACTTCAGTGGGCCTTTAAAAATATTTAATGTCACTGGATAAAATGTCACATAATAGCAAAATATCAAACCTAGCAGTAAGCTGTACAAGCCTTTTTCAGAAATCATTGCACATTTTCAAGTCATTTTTGCTCTG